GTATTTGAGCAAACGCTGCCAACTGCAGCGCCCCGAAAATCGTTATAAAGCATTCGCCTTCGACTTTGACAGCTTGTATTCCCTGCCATGCAAATGCCAGGCACGTTGCTGACAAGGGGGCGTGGCAGCCAGTCAGGCCCGGAGCCAAAAAGGATGCGCCGGCGAAAGGTGCCACGGATGTTCGATTTCGATTGATGGTGGCAGCTTCAGCTTCTAGTTCCCAGCTCCGAATTTCAAGACGGAGTCGCGATGGAGCGGATGTGCTGCGACAATATGCTGAAGCAGCGCTAATTTTTTCTTATTTTTCTGGCAGCTTACGTGTGGCCACGCCCACCAAAAAAATAGGAGGCCCCAAGAGTACACCAAAAAAAGCAAAGTCGAAAAAATGGTTTACTTTTTGTATTTTAAGACATCAAATAAATAAATAAAATTTTTTTTAAAGAATAAATAAATACACTCAAAAAATTATTTTTTCTTAAATATAGAAAAAAAAATTTTTCTGTGCTTCAAAAAAATATTCTATAAAGAGGAAAAATTTTCTAATCTTCAGAAAAATTTTCTAATCTTCAAAAAAATTCTGAATTGAACGAGTTTTTTTAGAAAATATTTTCTGAAATACAGAAAAATCAATTTTTTTCTAAATTATAAGGTTTATTTTTCTAATCATCCTTTCTTTTTTTGAGGGTTAAAATCGCTATTGATTTTAGAAAAAAAAAGACTGAACTTTTCTAAAACTAAAAAAAAATTGCCATTAAAATTATAAATATTTCTACATAATAGAAATATTGTTTTTCTAATAACAGAAAAATTTTTTGAAGATTTTTCTAACATTTTGAAAAAAATGTGTGATATTAAGAAATATTTTTCTAGAAAATAAAAAAATTTAACCGTATTTGATCGATTTCCTTTCTTATAGACTTTTTAGAAAAGTTTTTTTTAGCCTAAGAAAAAATCGCTATTAATCGAAGAAAATTTCCGGGATTGGTAGCCTAGGGGTCTAACGCGTGCGTGCATGCATATGTTATTCAAGCTTGCGGCTGCAAGAGTGAGTTCAAACCCACGTCGAGACGAAAAACTCGTGGTGTCTTTTTTTGTTTTTTTTTTAACACTAATAGTTACATATTAATAAAAAAAATGTATTGCATTTTGTTTAAGTTTTTCAAATTTGAAACATTCAATTACTGTTACTATTGAACCATAATAAATAATAAATATATAAATATTAATATTAATCAATAAATATTTAAAAGTAAAATTAAATGATAAACTAAAAGGAATAACCAGAAGAAAGCCAGATCAATTTGAGTAAAAATAGGAGAACAAAATGTGAATAGACTTTGTACAGCGCCTCACGTGATGCTTCCGTGGCGTAGCTAGTAGAGTGCTAGACTGCAAACTGTGAGGCGCGAGCGGTTAGCGGTTCGAATCCCGCGTGCGGCGACCAAGATGTTTTTCTCAAAATAGTAAGTTATTGGGTTTTTATATTTATAATTTGTAATTTGTACACTCATTTCAGTTCCAATTTGAATCCACCCATGTGCTCAATTAAAGGAAATTAAACTAAGGTGACAAACAAGAACGAAAAAAAAACAACACAAAGGCCGTGGCGTCACAGAAACAACCGGGTATAATTCCGAAGCCCGAAAATAGATTTTTGTATATTTGTCTATATTTAAAAAAAACCGTATTTCTATTTTTTAGAAAACCTTTATTTCTAAATTCTAAGAAATAATTTTTTACTTTCTAGCAAAATATTTCTAAATTGCAGTCTATTTTTTTTTGATTTTTAGAAAAAACGTCTTTAATTTTAAAAACCTACTTTCTTTAATATAGACAAAATCGCCAGTAAAGCAAATTCATAGGCGATTTTCTAAAACCAAGGGCGATTTCAGTCGATTTTTTTTTTGGGTGTATATTTTTCCTTTCTTTACTAAATGTTATTTCTAACGACCATTAACTTTGGGAAATTTCCCCAAGAACATTACCTTTATCTACCCATTATCTTCTAACTTTAAAGCTGAAGCTTTTGTTTCTTTGAAACATTTTGTATCCCTTTAAAAAAATGAATTTCCTTTAATGCGAATTAATTTCGGATTTTTAAAAGCACATTTCTTTTATTATTTATTTTTCCAATTGGGGTTTTTAATAGTAAATCACATAGATTTTAAATAAAATATATGATTTTTAGATTTTCCTCTGTGCACGATAACCATAAAGCAAAGTTAAAGCAGCGTGTGTGTGAGCGGAAATAATAATCGTCAAATTAATACGCGTCGGGAATTTCGCAAGGCTCCAAAACGCCGCTTGGCAACCCTGGAGGCCTTCGTCTGACCCGACAAATCCCGAATACGTGCGAGCATTTAAAGCAAAAACAAATAAAACTTAAGTGCTGCATGTGTGAAAATGTTCTTTGGATGGTTGGGGCTGGCTGGGTTGGTGAGTTGGGGGTTCTGGGAATCGGATACGGATCCGGACCACTCAGGTGTCCCGCCATTCAGCCAGCCCGCCTATGGTTAATCCGATCCCCGGCTGCTTAATCAGCTCCGGCTGCTTGGCCAAGATAGGAGGGTGAAACGAATCTTGAAATCTGGGGAAGGATGGGACACGCATACATCACTTGGCCCCGAAAAGCGGTCGGGGCCATCAAATTTCAGTCATAACAATAACACTGATAGTCCCCCGCTCGTAAAATAAGACCCGGCCAACCCTTTTTGGGGATCTGGCCGGGATTTGTTGCTTTCCTCATGTGTCTCGCTAGCCGGGGATGTGTGGATGAGGATGAGGATGTGGATGTGCTGTTGTTTCAGCCCCAGCTTGGAAAACAATCAAGAGAACGCGACACTAAAAACCACGCACGTTTTGGCCCTCATCCTCAGGCGGAGACACAGAAATTCGACAATGGCACTTGACGTTCCTGGGAGTCGAAGGGGTGCAGAAGGGGTCATATTCAGCGGAGGGCAGGTCAAAAGGCGACGCCTAAAGCATTTAAATCCTTTTCGCACTTTCGGCTGTCAGTCGCTGCTCGTCCCCGTCCCCATCCTCATCCTCATTCTCTTGCGCCGCCAGCTTGTTGCGTGTGAATTTCCATTCCGCCTATTTCCGGGGACCACACTGCGTATGACGTATGGAATGAAGAGGATTTCGTCCAGAATGGCATTGGAGGTGGGGTCGTCACGCTTAATTTTTGGCCTCGTCGTTTTTAGTGGGGTCGCAAGGCCGTAAAATAGGAATTTGCTTTATTAAAATTTTTCGCTTGAAAAATATGAGACAACGCAGAGCGATGAAAACAGCGAAAATTCGTAAGCAGCGAAACGTTGGGGGGGCCAAGGACTTTGGTAGTAGGGGCTCCTTCGCCTACAGAACGAGGTAAAAATTTACTCAACTATGAACTCCCCAAACCGACATGTATGTGTGGTGTGTGCGTGCGGGGAAATAGGCAAAAATTTGCGACAGGCCGAAGGTTATGTTGATCCTTGTCTGCTGGGGCTGGCATCCTAGCATCCCAGCATCCTAGCATCCTGGCAAGGGTTTTGCTTTTTCGAAGCTAGCTTTCGTCTGCGTCTGACAGATGCCAACCCCGTACAGGCCCCTCGTGTAACAACGAAATTTATATAAATTGCCCGTAATGCTGCTGGCTGTTCGACAACAACAGCAACATCAATCCAGGGGGCGGCGAGGCGGTGGGTGGATGGGTAAATTGTTGTTGATTCCCAGCTTGTTCCATCCACATTCTTTTGCCAAACAAATTATGTACGAAAAAGGCAAAATAATGAAATCGTAAAGAGTTTGGCAACGAATGAGTTCCTAACCCGGCTGCTCTGTGATATTTTTCTTATTTAAAATTCATTTCTGTCCCACCGCCCACCGAACACCACTCCCCTCCAACCCCATTCCTTCATCGTATCCTATTTTAACCATCCCCATCCTCCTGCAGACATGATGCGTATGCAAATTGCTGGCCATATTAATCATTGCCAGTTGGTAGCGCTGGAGCTAAGTTTTATTTTATTTCCATTTTCCCCTTTTTTTTTTTGTAATTCTACGGGAAAGTGCCGGAGGGGAAATGGGGGAGTGGTTTGCCCAGATTTAAAACTGCATTTCGTTGCTTATAAATAAACAGAGCCAGCGCGCGGGCACAAGAAATAGTCTCTGCTGGGAAATTTATGAAAGCGCGAATAAAATGCTCGTTTCACGGGACGCTAGTGGGCGGTGTGGAAAAAGAGCTTTTTTGGGGGCCTGGGTTTTAGGACACTAAAAACAAGTGCAGCTGCCTCGACTGACGACCGTCGCGTTAAATGCTTTTGTTGATTTTAGATGCGCGACTGCCTCGGGAAAAACCACCAACAACCCACCGCCCCCCGCCTTTTTCACCCCACCAACTCGCACAATTTAATAGTTTCGGCGGCAAGAAATGAACTCCACAACTGCAGCAGTCTGCAATGTGTCTTGGCAAACAGACACGGACAGCGGACAGAGGACCACGGACAACGGACAACGAGGACTACGGACTACGGACCACACCCACAATTGGCTTTTGTGGCACGGCAAACGCGCTTTTTCGTTTTGGGTCCGGGAAATGTGTTTGCTTTTCATTAAAAAAGAACGGAACGGAGCGTTTCTGGCCAAGTTTTTCGCCCAGCTTCCTTTTTTTTTAAGGCAGCTGGAAACGGTCAAAGTTCGGCCGCAAGGCCCGGGGGCTCCGGCGAGAAGAGCTTTGCGGAATGTCCTGTTTTATTGCGGTCAGGATTCGCTTTGACTGGGCTTCGGTCCTGGGGCTGCGGGACATGGACTCCAGGCCATGGGGCACTGGGATCGCGGACTTTGAGTAAACACATATTTCATAATTCATCATACGGCGTTGCCATAGAAAGTCACGTTTTTAATAGAGGACCCAACGGACGCACAGACCGGAGACAACAAATGGCCGCGAGGACAATTAATTAAGTGCATTGCTAATGAATCACTCTCCCTCCTCTTTTTCTTCTGGTTGTCCTTTTTAGCTGTCATCGCCATCCTGGCCACCCCCTGCCACGCCCAGCAGCAGAAGTTCCGGACCACGCCGCACGACCTGCAGGTCCTCGAAGGAGCCGAGGCCATGATGCGATGCGAGGTGGCCAATGTGGCCGGCGCCGTCCAGTGGACCAAGGACGGATTCGCGCTGGGCTTCTCTGCGGTGATTCCCGGCTATCCGCGCTACTCCGTGCTGGGCGACCGCAAGCAGGGCATCTACAACCTGCGCATCTCGAACGCCTCGATCAACGACGACGCCGACTACCAGTGCCAGGTGGGTCCGGCGCGGCTGAACAGCGCGATCCGAGCCAACGCCAAGCTGACCGTCATATGTGAGTATCATGTCCATATAGTGCAAGTCCTTTTCAAGTCCTCCTTTCTGACCAGAATCGTGCCCTATTCTATATACACACAGGAAAAAATGTGAGAAAAGATCACGTGCAAGTCAATTTATATTTATTTATATATCATTTATTTTATAATTTATTTTATATCATTTCTTTTTTTTTTCTGTGCAGAAATCCATAAGCCTAAAAAACTCTAAGTAATAAATGAGTCTCTCATCGTATAAAATTAATTCGATTGCGTAATTGGATGCTTCACATGACAGTTACAAATAGAATTTCAAAAAATTTTAAAATATATAACCATTGAACTTCGAAGGAAATTTATCATCATTCCAATTTTAATTTGTCTGAACGTAACTTTGACTTCTATTGTCAAACTCAGCTTGAACAATATCCGACTGTTTTCTTATTCGGAGTCGGAGTCCCAAGAGCTGAGGAAGGAATCTAAGCACAAAGTGCCATACCAAGTGCTACAGTCGGAAACCCCCTCGAAAACCCTTAGCATGCTTCATCTTTGGGCCACCCACTCAATTGAATTTACCCCTTTCGTCGGGTTCGCCTTTTTCTTGGGGGCTGCAATTAATTTAAGTAATAAATACAAATGAATTTGTCACCGGGGGCGCCACACACGTACGTAAATACATACGGTGGCACACATTCCTGCTGTTTCCTGCTCATTGCACCTATGGAATTCTACTAGTGAAATTCAAATGCGGGTCCCCCCATCCACCAGAGCCTGTCCCACTCCCACATCTGCCGTCTCTGTCGCTGCCAACATTTATTGTCAGCAATTTGCAAAACAACAGCAGCAACAGCATCGCCGAGCTGAGCTGAATTTAGCGCAGTTTATTGCTCCAAGGAGCCAAAGTGGGCGGAAAAGGAAAGCCAGGGGGTTTTTGGGGGTGGAGCTGGAAAATGGGGCTGTATCTCCACTGCAGGCAAAGCGATGTGAAATGAATTCCTTTTTGTTTTAGCCTCTCGTTTCGCCTCGTTTTCGGCTGTTGCATTGTCGTCGAGCAATCACTTTGACTGTTCTGCTTCTGCCGCTGCTTTTGCTGTAATTGTAATCACTCAAGGAATTGCGCTACATTTGATGACAGCGATTTTCATTTGGTCCGCTTCGTTTGGTCCTTCCAAGGAATTTTTCCCAGACATCAAGAGACTCCATGGCTACCACTCACTGCTCACTGCATGGCTAGCACACATTCCGGGGCCAAAGGCCCACGCACTCGCACACTCGCACACTCGCACACTCGCACACCCGCACACACGCGCACACGCCTAATGACGTTTGTTTAGTTAATTACGCGCCATGAGCTGTGACAATGGTGATGTGTGTGCCGGAGGCCTTGGGGTGGCAAAAAAGATAGAAAAAAGTATGGAGTGCCTAGACTTGAGGATACCCAGAACGTATCTTAAGTCCTTTGCCATTTGAAATACACCATGTTTTAACTTGTAGTTACAAGAAACTGAATTATAATGAGAATTTTTTAATCTAAAACAGCTTTGAAACATTTCAAAACTGTAATACATTTTATTTTAGGAAACTGTAGGAATAAGCGCATAAATAAGATCCTTATTAATTGGACTTTGAAATGGTTTTAAATTAGTATGATTTTTAAATGCCTCAAACATGCATATTCAATTCTGAATTCAGTTATAAATGCATTCAGTTATATTATAAAAGGGATCTGAAAAATTTTTATTATAAATACCAATATTAGCCACTCAACGGTCCAATATACCCTTCCTTTTTCCAAATACCGTATATAAAAAAATAAAATAAAATGAAATGAGGAAAAAACCAAGCTAAGATGGGGATGCTGCGGGAGGAGTAAGAGCTAGATTCTCGGCCGAGCTTGTTAGTGCCTGCGAGTTGTTGTTGGAGCTGCGAAAGGTCGGTCGTCACATGACATGTTTGTCATAATTGTAGATACTTGTGTGAGTGCTGCCCCCCAAAGCCACCCCACCACCCACAACCCCATTCCAACCTCACCACCCAATCCCACCCCATTGTTTTGTAATGTAATCTTCTTCTTGGCTCTCACAAATGACATGTGTCTGTGCCCCCAGTTCAAGGCATTTGGGCATTCCAGGCGTAGGTGTGTGCGGGTGGGAGGCACGTGCGACATTATTGCTGCAATTAGCCAAGGGGAAATGTGGACAAATGCCTAATAATTCAATTAAGTTCGAATTACATTTATTTGATTTATTCCGAAAAGCATTTATCTGCTGTTTGCATGCCTAGGAAAGGTATGAATTACAGGATATACGCATGGGAGACGCAGTTCATCAATAATATTTTACTAAAATATAATATTAAATATTATTATTTCGAATTTTTAGAGAGTACCAAATCAGTATATTTAATAAGGTTGTTGAAAAAAATTTAAATTATATTTCATGCATTTTGTTAAAGCATTCGAAGCATAAGAAATATACTTTTCTTTCGTTTATAATTCAGTTGAAAAAATTGTACAATTTTTTAATAGTTGTGTTTTAAAAGAAAAAGAGTTGCTTTTTTCAAATGTTTTGGCTGCATAACAAACCAAGAATCAGGTCGCCTGTAAATGGTTTAAAAGTCGACAAAAACAGTATTTTTCCAACTTTGTGGAAGTATTTATTATTGTCCTTGGATGGGAGAATTTTTTCACGAGAACATTTGAAACAGGTTATTCATTTTTAAGCATCCATCGAGGTAAATAAATAAAGGTTCAGTTTTGTAACAGTTTTCAGTTTTTTTATTAATTCAGCTATCTATGAGAAATATATGTACGTTTAAGTTTTGTCGAAATTCTATTTTGCCCTTCTAACAGAACTTCTGTCCATGTAATCTCAACTTGGAAGATATGATTTAATTAAAACTTTTTGCAGATAGTCTATTAAAAATTAATAGCACTCACCTTTTGTCCGGCTAAAATTAAATTTTCAGACTCCGTTACAAAGTTTCTGCAGCAATTTGGGTGTAACACTGGCCGTGTGCTTATGTTAAAGTTCCAAAAATTATTCTGCACTCCCACCAACACATACATATATGCATGTACATACTCGTATATATATAGTATGGGTAAAAATAAACGTGAGGGCGCAATTAGATTATAAGTTTGGCAAAAGCAAAGAACTTTTGCACACAAAAGTCCACGTGCAAATTTATGGAAATTCCCAGAAAATTTTCGCATGCCATTAATTTGGAATACAAAAAAAAATAGGGGGAAAAAAATAATGGAGCCAAAAACACATATGCCGCAAGGCAACTGCAAGGTCCGTGTCCGAATGCGAATCCGAATCCGAAGAGCTAAAACTTTTTGCCCGGGCGGCGGACAATGGCAAACGGCAAATGGAATGGCCAGGAAAATGGGGAGCACTTGCTGCAGCCACCTTCGAGCGTTTATAAATTTTTGACTACAATGCAGCCCGAATTTAAGTTGGACTTCCTTCCTGGCCAATAGACGCACTTCATTGATTTTCAAATGTCCGCACATTTTTCAAAAACACACCCTGCCCCCCGAGCCGCCTCTGTAATTGAAGTGCAAATGAGGAAAGTTTTCATCTGCCGGCATTCCCGGGGAAATATCGCCCGACATTTGTTATGTGAGGCTGACCTTAAAGTCAGCCCCGAGCTCCTTGGGTCGCACTCCGGGTGTGACCGGGCCTGATGGCTCAACTTACATCACAGCCAGCCACTAGAAGCTGAAGCTCAAGCTCAGGCTCCCTTGGCCCAAAACGAACGAAAAAATGGCCAATTCTTGCCTTCGCCTCGGATTGAGATTGGGCTGCAGTGGGTGGGTGGATGGTTGGGCTTAGCTGGGTTGGGCGAAAGGGCTGGGAAAGTATTCCGGCGCATAAAACTTTTATGAGGCGTACTATTAGTGGGTTAGCCGGGGTGTCGTTGCCCGAGGGGCGAGTGGTCCAGTGTTCATGGCAAATTGCACTTTGTGTACTCGCTTGCCAGGAATCCGGCAACTGGATCTGGTTGGAGCTAAAGCTCTGCCGCTGCCAGTGCCGCCGTTATTGCAGCCATTGTTGCATAAATTATTTGATGCCAGCCAACAGTGCACTCAAAGAAGTGCGCTGCACCAGCTCATCCACCCACAACCTTACCCGGAATCCAGCCACATCCCACCACTGTCATGTGGGGCCGCGGCTTATGCATAAAATTTAATCAACATTTAACCCTAACCAAGTCAGCTCAGTATCCGAATTTTCACCTGATGGAGCACGAATCTTATCTAGGGCAAACCAAGTAAGGTTCAACTTATTATTAGCTGCTATCTGAATTTTGTAATACAAACATATTTCCATAAAATAATGTAGGTATAATGCAATATTTACTTTTATAATTTTATTCAAACTACTTTTTATGATTTTCATATTTCCGATAGACCCCTAAAACATAATTTGATTAATACATATTTACCTATTTTGTATTTAAACTGTTTTAAAAAAATGTGGACACTCTTTGATTGCAAATTCTTTTGTATTTTGCTACTAAAATAATTTCTAAAATAATTGGGTAAAATTCATAGAATTCAAGTCTCTTCTAGCAGTTCCGTCGCACTGCATTTCCACCGGCATTGGTTGTTGCCTAGCAGCTTTTGTTAGACTTCCTTCTGACCACCGAGCCTCCTACGTGTTTCCCTTGAAACGACTCCACCTGCTCGTTTCTCAATAATCAAATACAATATGCATACCAATCAACAATGCACATAGCCCACGTTCCAATCCACACGCACCTACATACGTACGTCACTCTACATAGGTATAGAATCTATAGATATAGAAATGTCTGAGCAGGATGGCAGGCCACGCTTCGGCATAAATCGAGTTGCATTTGCCAGGACTTGGCGCTAGAAAAATCATAAAATGTGCATATATTTCGCTTTTTAACCATGCAGCACGCGCAGTGCCACGCCCTTTCCCGGTGCGCCCCCGCCCCCCAAAAAGCCCTGCCACGGGGAGCCAAATATTATGAATTTTCAATGCACGTAACGCCCCCTCCACGGACAATCTGTATAGCCAGCGGTGCCACGGCGACACCAATTTCGGCTCACAAAGCCTTTAGTCAAGGTTGATGCTGGATGGTGGATGCTGGATCCTGGCTGCAGGATGATCTAGGGTTGCCATTGGCGTTTCCTCAGGCAGAAGGGTTTCGGTCGGAATAACAAGCGACGCATCGCTAGCCTTGGAAAAAATAAAGCGAACAATTTTCAAATTTCTACTCCGCTTTTGGTATATTCTATCATAGGCGAAAGGATAGCAAGTTAGTTTGGGAAAAGTGCAAAAAGCCTATTCAAGGACATGTTTCAACAGCAATTGTTGAAAGTAAATTCTTAACTTTTCTCGGAACTTGTTCTGTACAAACGCGAATGCTGATGTGAAAGGGTGGAAAGTTTCTTCCGAATTTAATAACAAATGCATAGCCAGAAGGCGAATTAGGGAAATCAATCAATTACCAAGTATTCACAAGAAACTAAATCTTAGTTTTATTTTATTGCTTGACCTAAATAACAACAATAAGTAAATACCAAAGTCATCGCACCTCTGGGTGTTCTTGTTAATAAACCGGAAAATCATCGGCTTTTACGGTACAGTGACGAATATTGCCGGGAATGAAAGGAAATACCTTGTACCTAAGCTTCTGAATTGGAAATTACATTCATGTATTTGATTTGTTGCATAATAATTTGAGCAGCTGGCGGCGATGCTAAACTAAATCTAATCAAAGGGAAAGGGACACCGCCCTTGCGGTGTTGATTTCATTTGTGCCGCAACAAAAGCAATTACCTCTACGCAGAACGATGTCGCAGACAAGGAACCTCTTCTGTAGTCAACCCCCTAAGCCCCAAACCCCCAACTCCTTGAAGCCTTGGGACTCCTTGTGCGACATTAAGCATTCATTTTGCATGCAACAACTTCTGGAGCAGTTCGCGGAGCAGACGGCAACATATGTTGCATGTCAAATGCAGGACTCGCTAACCAAGTGAGGGAGGGAGTAGAGGCTCCATCTCCATCTCCTACTCCTACTCCTCCTTTTCCCGCTTAGTGCAATGGCAATGGCAGCCAAACTCCTTCAGGTGGCATTAAAATAATGCACACGTGCACTTAACTTTATCCACGTTTCTCGTTGTTTGTTTCGCTGCATGCTCGTACTTTCGTTGCTTCGTTTGTTTGTTTCTGCATTTGCTGCATTCATGCACCACCCACCCAACTTGCAACAACCACCCACCCACTCGGCACCACCCGGCGTCACTCAGCCATTGTTTCGCCGGTGGCTCGTGTATATTTCAACAGTTTGCCAAGGCATGCCGGCTCAGGCATGCCATGCTCCTCCTTTTTGGCCCCCAATCCGCCCCTCTCATCGTCCACCCCCTAGAGCGCAAATATTGAAACTCATATTTGAGCACATTAACGAGGGAACTGCCTACACGGAGGAAAACAAGTAAAGAGTTTTTAAACTTTCATGTTGCAATCGAATTTGAGGCAAGGATTTTAGTTGGAATTAGAATAGGAAGAGATATTAAACAAATATATCAAATTATAATTTTTTATATATCTTAAATGCTCTATGATTTGTTTAGAGTGGACCTGTGAAGTGGGTGGTTAACAAGGACGGAATGCTGCGTTCTTGGCGCATTCTTCCTGGCCTCCACTTCCCAATTCCAGCCGCTTCAGCTGCTTCAGCTGCTGTTTCTGTTTCTGCATTGGCGGCCATTCAACCTGGGCCTTCAACAACAATGTCGTCTGTCGTCGCATATACACACAATGCATTAGGGCAGTGCCACGCCCACAGAACGCCCACAAAACGCCCTGTAATGCCATTGTGGCCCATAATGAGCAAAGCTTCCCTGGCAGCCATTAGCTTTTGTTTCTAACCGACCACCACCCACTACGAACTTCCTTTGTGACCCAACCCCTAATCGCTACAACTGCTCTCCTCTCTTCCAGCTCCGCCAGCCTCGATCGAGATCAAAGGTTACAGCCACAATTCCAAGGTGGAGGTGCGCGAGAACCAGGACCTGCAGCTCAAGTGCATCGTGGCCAATGCTAAGCCGGCGGCCCAAATCGTCTGGTATCGCGGCAATGTGGAGTACAAACCAGGTTAGTAGCAACTTAGCCATTACGTTTAATGTCCATCCATGGGCCATCAACCGCAAGGGAAGATGGTTTTTATCACGCACCTGTCACCAAGCGGATATAAAACGCAGATCAGCTAAAAGTGAAGGCATCTAAAATCCCAATAGGTTTCTGGGGAGCACCTGAATAATTATATGATATTTAAAATTAGCATATAACTGCAAAGAAACTAATTACAATAACCAACCAGTTCAAGAGCTCTCCAAGTCAAAGGATAAATAATATATGGAGCAAATAAATAACATATAGAAATATTAAAGAAATGCACAATACGAAGTTAAAGAAATAGAAAGGACTAATAATATTTTATAACAGAACCTTTTTCAAATTGCCAGAGAGAAAGTGTCTCGAGATATCCTGGCCATATTAAACGGCCTAAAACAACATAGGTTGTACGAACATAACAATATACATTTTCTCCTCGAAGGCATTATGCAGAATAAAAAAAGTGTAAATGGGTTTTGGCCAGGCCCTTTTTAGCCGGGATAAGTGCGGATGCGAATGCGGATGTGGAAGTGAAGGTGGCGAACGAGATGGGTATGGTAAATGGTGGATGAGGATGAGCGAGATGGCAATGCAGATGGAGATGGGCAAAGTGACGCCTGTCAACCGTTTGGCCATCGCACATGTGATATGATGGAACGGGGGCGGCAGGCGGAATGAGAATCCTGACAGGATGCGGGAGCGGCAGGGAAATGGACGTCGACTTTCGGCCTGATGACGGTGCTTAAATAATAATTTTATACTCCAACAAAGCGCCGACTGTCGATGTTCGGCCCTTATCTGCTGTGTGTGGTTCGCTATCCTGTCCTGCCCTCTGTTGTGTTTTGCTGTCCAGAGTCCTGGGTCCTTCGTCCTGCTCCCTCTGTCCCGTGTTTGTGCCTCGTCATTTAGCCGCTGCTGGGCAGTCAGCAAATTGGAAAACAGAGCTGCTGGAAAATATGGAAAAATGCAAATGTCAATGGGTAAATGGGCTAAGCGGATGGGGCGCCCGATCCCATCACACGGCGCTTAGCCGCCTTCACGACTTTTAATTTTCATAATGATTATGGCCCCTACAAACCGTACATGTGGGTGGCTGTTGCCCCTTTTTCCGGGTGGCGGATTTTCCGCTCCTTTCCCGCCGTTTGGGCAGTAACGAAATCATTTTAGCACAACTGGCGCGTTAAAAATGCTTAAAATGTGAAACGCACGGCGACAGCGACGATGATGATGGAAATTTTTCGGGTAAACATATAAAAAACGGAAAAACAACAAACAAAAAACAAAACAGCGAAAACAACACAGGCCAGGAAGAGGGAAGAAAATTCGCAAAGCGGCGTTAAAATGTAGGAAAATCCGCAAGGAAATGTGGACAGCGGAAGGAAGCTGCATGATGAATTATGTTTATGACGCAATATGTTGCGGCAGGGACTTTGGCCGGACCCCCGTAGCCATACATCCCCCGGTCCAGGGTCCAGGGTTTACGAGAATGGCCAGTTTTGGTCTGGGTTTTGTATCATTTGCAAGCTGTCAAGGGGGCGTGTGTGTGTGTGTGTGTGTGTGAGTAGCGGGGACGCGTAAATGGCGGTTAATGTGGGCTGGCGGCCATCTTGGTGATTACCCCCGAGTAAAATGGTGGTTTCGGCCCCTTTGCGCCCCCTCGATAGTTGGGTGGGTCGGGGCACATTTTTTAGGCCACACTTTTCGGCGCAGATGAGGCTCGTTGAAAATTTATAACTGAAAATGATGTCACAAAATGCTCTTGCTGGTGTGGGATTGATGGGAGTTGAGAAATACTTATTTCTCAAGGCACTAAACTTTGGCACTTTCCTGCCAAATGCAGTAAATTTAAATCGATTGAGAGGCGGTATTCCGAATGGAAATATTTATTTTGCGGTCTGGGTTATCACTTAAAAATATACGCTGGCAATTTACAACCAACGATTTTTTTATTTTTTCCAAACTAAAATATAAATTGGTATAATCAAATTTTATACACAGCCTTAACATCCGCTGCTAAATTCATTTTCAAGTCAATGCAAACACCTGTTAATTAACGGATATCCTTGGTTTGCTTGCAGAAAAACGCGAGGACAACGTGGAGGAGTCAACGGCCAAGCGCTACACCACCACCTCGGTTCTCAAACTGAAGCCCGGACCCGACGACGACTACACGGAGTACACGTGCCAGGCGAAGCACAAGGCCCTGTCCCCGGACATGCCCATGCGGGCCACCGTTCAACTGTCCGTGTTGTGTGAGTAGCTTCTCAGCCTTTCCACCGACCATCTGTTTTTCGGGGGTGCTACGAAAGCGACCCCGAGGATCCAAGAATCGGAGAGGTCGTGTGGGTGACCTCATTAGCCGGCTCAATTTGCTATACAATTGAACGTGCGTGCTGGGGTGAATGTATGAGTAACTGTGGGGGGTAGGAGGTCTTCAAAGAGGAACAGCCTGCTACATTTGATGCACTGGAAAAATTATATATTATGGCTAACTGTCCGATCAATACCATTCCTCTTGGGGTAGCTGCTTTTGTCAGTTAGGCAAATTCACCTCAAATCAAATCAATGCTTTAATGGTTTTTCTAATTGAAAATATTTCCGAAATTTCTAAAAGTTAGTTAACTATTATATTTCTATTTGGAATTTCTAAATATTTTAATTAGCTTATACAAACACACAAAAAAAAAACACACCGGGATCAAATTGATATGAGCATGGTAAATTTTTGGTTTTATTCGCATATATGAAAAAAGAGAGCATTAAGCAATAGAGCGGGGTAGCGTTTAAATTAACATTAATATAATTTCCTTTAAATAACTTCCATAAATCAAACCTTTAGTGGGCAATTATTTTCTCCAGTGCAGGCAATGAATTTTTTGCAGCACTCTCCATCGGCCTGGCCCGATGCGGATGCCATTTGCCACCACGGCCGCTAATTGCGCGATTCGGGCGCGTATTAATTAGTTTTTAAATTCTAATGTGCCGCACAGCTGCCACTGCCAATGTGAATGTGAATGGCTGTGGGACTGGGAATGGGAATGCGAATTGCGATGCTGCACGGTAGCGCGAGCCATTACGAATGCCAAAAGTCCTCTTATTGATTGTTGCCATTGGCAGTGGTGGCCATGGTGGCACGGGTCCACTGGTGGTGCCAGTGGTTGCCTCGGGCACCTGCCTATAGCTCTGGGAAACTGGATATGGCTATAGCGATGGCGATGGCTCCACCTGCACACGCACATTCAAATTAATTATGTTTGTTATTTATGCATAGGCAGCTGGCAAATGGTGGCCCCAACTGCCGCAGTTCGTTGGCCATTTCCAGTGCTCGTCGCGATGTAATTGGCAAAAAAGTAGGAAAAAAATGGCGAAAAATCGAGTTGCGCTATCTGCAGGCTGAAAATGGCAAGGGGTGCTAGCTATATATCCCCTTTCATTTGGCCTTCCTGTGGGGGCTTAATTATGGCGCCATTATTGCTTCCTCACTGCCTCATCTCGGACCTGGTCGTACAATATTTCAAGTGATTTTAATTTAATTTTCCGTTGCATGCCTGCGAGGGAAGTGCGTGTGTGCGCCTCGTGTGTGCAACGTGTGTATAAATATGTAAAGTGTGTGTGCTTGGCAGCTTTTATGCCTCACCTGATTGCTGCTGTTGATTCAATACGGTTGACCGCTTGTCAAATTGTGATAAAGAAAATATATTACACGCCCGTGCAGCAGGCGGATAAGAGTAAATGTTTTTCCAAAGTTTTCCCCCTGGAAAAGCGATAGGCGGCCACTGCTTCGCCCCTTTCTAGTTGTTAGCAATTATATAGCATCCGCTGATAATTTCCAAATGTATTTAACACGCACTGTCACTGGCTTTTCCACTGCTCTGCGGTATTTTACACTATTATTAATCGCCCAGTGCGACGCCCACAACATGTGAAATTACCGACGCCCCGAAATGGGGCTCAAAAAAAGAGGAGAAATCGGAAAATAATGCATATGACCGCATAAACGATTTGCATGCAAACACTTCAATTAAAAACTGTACGAATTTCAACTGCATGCGCACACATATGCGCTCTCCCCGCACTTTACTTTAGTGTAAATTGAATTTATTTGCGGACAGCAGTTGCAATTAAATATGCGAACTGTGAACACTGCAAACTGCCGGCATTCAGTGGAGTTTTTTGTACCAAACCGCTCTCTGTTCTAATCCCACAGATCCCCCGGGACCGCCATATATCGAGGGCTATTCGCCGGGCGAAACTCTGCGCCGCGGCCAGACGGTGGAGCTCATGTGCCGGAGTCGCGGCGGCAATCCGCCTGCCCAGCTCATCTGGTACAAGAACGGATCCCAGATACGCATGGCCTACAGGTAAGCCATAAGTTCTAATTATTAAAATATTAAATATTCAAAAAATAATAATGTGCTTAATTAGAGGGATTTTTATCTAATGGATTTTACGTAACCACACCTAATCGTGTATAGAATTATCACCTAATCCTTGGTCAAATTAATAATTTTTGTTTTTTTTATATATACTAAATTAACTAACCGCGAACTGACATTTAATCTGAACGAAAGAAAATATTCATTAATTCCGAAATATTTTGCTTTCATAAATTAACATAAAAAGCTATTATAATAAATTTTAAATCATATATTTTGTCATTTTAAGATATATATTTTTGTAATTATTTAAATATAAATTATTCGAATAATAATATGCTTAATTAAGGGGATTTTTATCTAATGTATTTTATGTAACCACACCTAATCCTATTTAGAATTATCACCTAATCCGTGGTCAAATGAATAATTTTTGTGTTTTTTTCTATATATACTAAAATAACTAACCGCGAACTGACATTTAATCTGAACGAAAGAAAATATTCATTAGTTCCGAAATATTTTGTTTTCATAAATGAACATAAAAACATATTTTGTCATTTTAAGGCAGATTTAATATTCATTTAACTTTAAGGTGCTACAAATATTGATCTTTTCCTTATCGAATGTGTTTCCTTTACGCACAGGACCTCTGGCCGATTGTCCGAGAACATCTATACCTTTACCGCCGAGGCGGGCGACAACAGGGCGCGATTCCGCTGCGAGGCGAGCAACGTGATGTCTCAGAATCCGCTGAAGGCGGAAGTGGAGCTGGCTGTGCTGTGTAAGTCGAGATCCAATGGCGCTCCGCCTCCAATTTGTGCCATCTAATTGCGCGTTCTTCATATTTATATATGCATCCCGGGCTGAGTAGCATATCAGATTTAATGGGTGTCTAGATGGAGGATAGGGAATCGGCAGGAGAGAGAGCAGGCACTCTGCGATGTGGGGAACGTATTGTGTCAACAGCCTGGCTTGGCTGCGACATCTTCCAAATTCCACAGAGCCAGCAGCACTTGGCAGGCGACTCACACACAGATGTTGGAGGATGGGGGATGGATTTTCCCCCCTGAAATAAGCCTGGCAACTCGCTCGGCTCGGCTGGCTGTTGCTTTCTTTTGCAATTAAGCTTAAGTTTGCACTTTGAAAGCCTCTCCAGCCTCCGTCCCACTTGGCTTTGTCAAATCAAGCAATGCAAATTCTTTTCAAGTGCCAAATAGCGCACAGCCCCAACCACCGACCTCTGAACCCAGCCGTTGCAGCTTGTTAGAGTTACAACAATTGCAATCAGGCACACAAAGCTGACGGGCGGAACGACGCGGTGCCAAAGTCGTTAGCGACACTTGGACGGACGGACGGAGACCAGCAAACATTTGCATGCCACATCCTTACCCCTTACCCCGCTACTTACCCAGCTCATGTGTCTCACATGCAAATGGATGAGGCGGCCGCTCAACACGGCGTATGCGCGATATTTAAATTTCAAGTGCTCGGCAGTCCGCTGAAATTGGCATCTTTTACCTGAAGCGGCCTTTAAGTGCGCGGAGTGTGTTACTCCGCCCTTACGAAAGGCAAAAACTCGTTTAGCTGGCAGCTTTCAGTTTATGCGCATACCAATCAAAGCGCCATACAGGTCAGGCCTGCCCACTCGGCCCCATCTTGCCCCAATAAGTATGCCACATTGAGTGGCCAGCACGAGCGAATATACGAACAGTCGCACACTAACACTGCAGTGAAAAAAATGATGTGGTCAGTGGGAAAATTTTAGACTTTAATAGTCAAATTAAATAATTATAATAATCTATAAATTTATTTTTGAATTTCTAAAGAGTTATTAAAATTTTTGAAAAATCATAGGACATAAGTTTCCAGATATGCATAGAATTTTCTTGCTTTCCCATTGATTACCTTTATGGTGGAATAGTTTTCTCCTGTGTATCGGTTAGATAGCAGATGTGGCCTCAGCTGGCGGCCCGGGCTCTTAGCACACGCATTATTTATGTATAACGAATGTGGAACAACAAAACTGAAGACGTAGCAGGAATACATTCAGCATCAGCATTCTTTTAGCCCCTCCCCCTACACACGAGTGTGTGGTGTGTGTGCCCGGAATGAAGATGTATGGCCAAGACGGACCGACGAAAGATGCGAGAAGTTAAGAATTCATAATGTTTATTTATATGCGAAACATATCGAGTCGAAAGTTTCGTATTCGTATTCCCTGCGCGCCATTGCCAAACCCATGCCCCTTGCCTCATTCCCCATTCGCTATCCAAAAGCCAAAGCCCAAGACAACTCTGCGTATGCGTAATGTATGCACTTATCCATCAAGGCAGCGGCAGCTGCAGCTGCTACTGCTGCTCCGCTTCGATGGCATTAGGTAATAGCTCCGCAGACGGACGGACTGTCAGTCACTCAGTCATCATTTGCATGGAGGCGGCATCAGGAGCCGACATTCCTCCCCGAGGCTATTAGGGAAGCAGGGAAACAGGGAAACCAGGGGCATTCGCTTGCAAACTGGCGAATATGAGATACTCGTGTGCGCCTGCCTCTAGCATGCCGCAAGTGGGCCCGCCGCAAACCTATTACATATTAATGCGCCCTTCATTATGCGTCCCCCGGTAACTGGTTAACTGGAATCCTTCTCTCTCCCCAGTCGCACCCACCCACGTCACCGTAATGGGACCCACGGAGGCGCGCGTCGGCGATATTGTGCCGCTGACATGCAACACCGCACCATCGAATCCGCCCGCCGAGATCAAGTGGATGGTGGGCGGACGGCAGGTGCGCAACGCCACCTCAAAGACGATTGTCAGTCCCGAGGGTAAGTGCGCCGGGCGGCGAACGCCTGTGTGACATAATCCCCCGACTAATCCATTTCCATCTCTGTCTCCCTGTCCGTCATCGCAGGCGGCTGGACGACCACCTCGAACATCACCGCCACCGTGGAGCCCAACAAGCGCTCACTGGTCGTCATCTGTCACGGACTCAACATGCAGCTGACCGAGAATGTCGTCTCCACCCACACGATCAATGTGCTGTGTAAGTATGCCCCAAGCCAGTGAATATGATGTCCTTTTAGCAGTAACAAAATGAAAAAATCCGCCAAGCAGGGGAAATAAGGTTTTATGGTCCAGAAATAATCCACTTACAGGTTCCTATTCTTAAGAAGGATTTTTATTTTGATTTATTTTACACACGAATGCGTTATTAATATTAAATAAAAGTTATAAATTGAAAACTTTTAAAAGATAAAAAAAATATTTGTTTTGAGAGTCTTACAATTTTTTAAATAAATATTTTTCCAGCTTCTCAAGTATATTTATATTTATTGATTTTATTTAACATTCTGTAATTTAAATAAGTAGTAAAAATATTTATTTGAAAATTCTCACGACTTAGTAATTAAAAGAAATTTATCAAGTAAGCCCATTAAAGTTTTATACCTATTTATGCTGACTTATAAATTATGGTGCCGCATTATTGCCTCCACCCATGTTTTCAATCTAGAAACAAAGTTCTCTTTATGTCAAAGGTTGAGTCTGTCTTTGGCTCTTGTTTCAGTTTTAGTTTCTTAACATTTCGGTTGATAGATACAAGTAAAAAATTCTCGATTTAGCTGCTGGTTTTATTTGAGTATATTAGTTTACCCTATATTAGTTTCGCCATGTCTGAGTTTCCCATCTGCATATCGGCGTCGCAGCGCGAATTGGCCCGCCTCACGGAGGAGGAGCGGCTCACCGCTCAGCTGCAGGTGAAGGAGCGCAAGAAGGCGGCCAAGGCCAAGCCGAAGAAGATCCTGGGCGGCATGCTGATGGTCAATCGCATGAAGATGTGGCGCCAGCACAGGGAGCGCGTCAAGGAGGCGATAAGCTCGGTGGACGCAGAGGCGCCGAACTTCCAGGCGGCCCGCATCACCGGAGTGAACAATCTGCGCGACGAGGCGCAGGTGTTCATGAAGCGCACCAAGGCCAACATCCAGCTGCTGGTGGAGATTTCGCGTACCATGCGCACCCACGGGGCCATCAATCCGTTCCGCTACGAGGTGGTGCACGCCGTCTCCAGCATTCCGCTGGCCCTGCTCAGTCTGGAGCAGCTGGAGCGGGACAATAGCGAGTTCGGCCGCCGCATCATGGAGGTGAAGAGCGAGGTGGACTCCGGTCTGTCGGACAAGCGGTTACTGGAGGGCAGGAATGCGCCTGCTGCGGCCCCACTGGAGCTTCCGCCCCAGGCGATGGCCAAGTACGAGGCCTTCAACATTCCGCTGCCCGAATCGGACGCCGAGCTGCGTCGCCTCTTCCGGCCGCGCATCTACTTTGACATCTATCTCAAGGACGCCCGGCCGCTGGGCAGGATCGTGATCCAGCTGTACACGGAGGCAGCTCCGCTGGTCGTCCTGCAGCTGATCAAGTCCTGCATGTGCAATCAGCACACCAAGTTCGTGGTCAAGCGACTCTTCCCGAATCTCTGGCTGGAAACGGATTTGATGCTGGCGGCGGACTCGCTGCTGCACAAACCGCTGGAATACGACGCCAAGGTGATTGACCACGGCGCATCCAGCTACGTATTATCCTTCAGCAAGGCTTATGTCAAAGGCTTCACCGAGCACCTGTCCTTTGCCATCTCGTTCAAGCCGCTTACCGTCGTCAATGGATCCCGCGTGGGATTCGGCCGGATTGTGAAGGGCAGCAAGATATGCGAGTGCATCCAGAGCTACGGCACCAAGAACGGAAAGCTCAGCCGGGGCCTGCTGTTCACCAGCTGCGGATTACTGTAGACTGCAGTTGGTCTCCAAAAATTGTTTTCCTGTGTAACGAATCCCTTCTTTGTGTATAAATCATAGTCGGTTTATAATATTTTTCAAAGAGAAATAACTTTATAGTAGGTGTATTTAACATGCAATCTTTATTTTAATGGTTAATGAAGAACTCAAAATAATTGTGAAATAAGATCGATATCGTTATGCACAAGCGAATATCTGCAGGTCAATGTAATATTTTTTTAAATCGAGTTATTCATATCCTTTTGATGTTATACATATCTTATTTTGCATTATCTGTTTAAAAAAATACTAAATTCGATATTTCAAAACTGATTTTTTATAATTTTAATTAATTAATTTATACGATGAAATATCTATTAGATATGTTTGATATGATATAAGGTAGAATTTACCCGAAACCAAATCAAATTTATTTTCTCCATAGCAATCAATAGCTATTCTAGAATTCGATTTAAAAACAAAACTTTTTCTGATGGCTTGAAAAGTTAGCGACGTCCATGCCTTATTTCCTATGCCCACACTGCTTTGGTGACCCCTGTAAGGGACCAATTGGATGTACGCATTCAGGATCTTGACACCGCCCCATTCCCCTTTTGCCGCCGCAGAGTGACACTTCTCCGCCTGGCGACAACTGCAAGTGCCGTAAACTCCATTATCCGATGTTCGGTGTCACTCTTCATTTGACTCAATTATAAGCGAAGGCAGTGACAAAAAACACGCAGGAAAAAAACGGCTGTCGTGGGATGAGATATCCACCAGGATACTAGGATTTCACATTTCTGGGGAGGATGAAGGGACTGACAGGCAAAGTCACTCGATAACAGGTTGAATTGGGGTTGGCTCGGGTTAGTTTGGCTGGCAGTCGATGTTGGGGCTTATTAATAATTGCGATTTCTAGTTTCGGTTCATCCAGTTCAGGCACACTCGTGGCTCTCCAGCCCCCCTCCACCGTCACTTCCCCCTTCGGCCCTCTGCTGGTCTGGATGTCCTTTGTGAGCGCTCTCCTGCAGCGCTAATTAATTTTTCTGACCAACATCACAGAGAAAGAGCAGAGGGGCGGCGAGAGATTTACATTTATTACCCATACCATGAGCACTGAAAATGACTAACAGACCCCCAAGGTAATGAGCCACCCACCCCATTCCAAACCAGCCCGCCCACCAATCAAGGACGAGGCGATGGTATGTGCATGGTCATGCCTTGAGGATGCGGACGCCCTGCGGATATTTTTACTTTATGCGCGGCAAATTAAATAATTTTAATTTTTATTGTTCGGCCGCTCTTGGCAGCTCTCACGAAGGACACAGCGGTTGGTCCTGGTCCTAGTCCTGGCACTTTTACTGGTACTGGTCCTGGTCCTGTCTCCGAAGCCCCTTGCTGTTATTGTTGTAGGCCATAATTTGCTGGCTCGTGGCTAAGTTTTTGGGGCCACAATTCGCTGGCCCATTTCCCCTGCTTGGCGGCGCTCTTTTGTTTGTCTTTTTTTCGGAACGGAACGAAACGTTTTTCTTATCCCGCGTTTTGTGTGTGCTTTTACCAAATGCCTCTGCTTCTGCCTCCACAGATCCGCCCGCGCCGCCATTAATTTCTGGCTATATGGAGGGACAAATTATCCCAGCTGGCTCGGTGCAAAAACTGCTTTGCGTTTCATCAGGCGGCAATCCGTTGGCGACGCTAACATGGTACAAAAACGACAAAAGGGTGAGTGCACAAATTTCCCTCCTCCTTTTTTTTTGCCGTCCTTTGTTTGCATTTTCCGCAGAAAACTCACACACACACACACACATACACACTGAACAAAGAGCGAGCGAGAGGGGAGCACACTATCAACGACAGGCAGCAAACATCCGCAAAACAATAATGGCGCTTTTGTTGACCATTTCCGCTTCCGCTTTATGGGCTTAAAGTGCTAATGAGCCACTGCAGCCGTGCGCTTCTGATGCCAGAACGATTTCGGTTTTCACACCTTCCACCTACCAATAATCGAGAGCACAACTATCGTTAGAACTTTGAACAAAAGGTGGTAAATACGGCGGGAAATAGTAGAAAAAGTCACCCACAACCGCAGCTCATCAGCCCACACACTTATACGGCGGAATGATGGTTGAGTGGGTGGTTGGGTGTTTGGGTGTTTGCTATGCGGGACAGGAGCACCTGCAGTTTCAGGTGCGGCTTCCTGTTTTAGCGTTTCCCATTTGTTGCGGTGTCAGAGTTTCCATCTCCGCCCCTCGGGGGACTCATCTGTGTGCCGTGTTTGCTCGCCAGCTCGCTCGCTCGCTCAGATTAGACGACGTTTTATCAGCGAAATTAAAATGCATCCGCCAGCTGTGCTCTTTGGAGATGCCTTCCCAACCAGCCAACAAAAAAAGAATAAGTACTCTCTCCCCCTGCAGATAAACTCGGTCATACGGGCGGCGGACAAATCGGTGTCGGCCGAAATCACCATTCTGGCCAACGTGTCCGACAACCAGGCCCAGTACCGTTGCGAGGCCTCCAACAGCGCCACTGAAATCCCGCTCTTCCAGTCCACCACGCTCAGCGTCCACTGTGAGTATTCCTAAGACATGTATAATTCTTAAAGATAAAGCTTAAATTGTTAGTTAGCAGTGTCATTTTTTTTAATTGCCGAAAATGTAAGCTTAGCATTTTAGAATATTTAATAATTCTGTTTATTAGACAGACAAACAGATAAAAGCAAAAAAAAAAGTAGAGTAAATTTTAATCATATTATTGGAAACACCGCTTTTTAAAAGTTTCTTTCATAAATCTGGTTCGAATACGGTTCAACATTTTTTCAAAAAATTAAAAAAAAAAAAAAAAAGAAATCTTAAAATAATTTTTTTCTACAATTTATTTATTTTCCAAAAAGTAAAATGAAAATTCTATTATTGTAGTAAGGAATGCTTATTTCTACATTATACAAAAATGATAAATTCTTAATCTTTCAAAAACCTATATAAATTGTTCTATATTGCTCTGTTTAAAAAAACGATCAAATAAATGCTCCTTGTTGATTTAAGCAATACAAAATTAGGATTTTTTGTACATATGTTGCAGAAAAAAAAATTACAAATTTGATCATATGACTTGATTTTAAATTTGAAATATTATTATTTTGCCAAGTGCAGTTGCTTTAAATCCTTGGGGCGGGGGACTTACCAGCTCCTTTCTTAATATCCATTGGTGTGTGTGCTCGCCGTTTCAGTTGCCCCGGAGACGGTCAAAATACGCATTGAACCGGAAGAACTGCGACCTGGCATGGAGGCAGCCATCATCTGCGACTCCAGCTCCAGCAATCCGCCGGCAAAGCTGTCCTGGTGGAAGGACGGCATCCCCATCGAAGGTACGTACGGTATGGTATGGTATGGAATGGCTTGGCCTGCTTGGCTCTTTGGGCCTGGCCAAGCGATTTGGCAATTGGAAGTTTGCCCATCGCAATTCGCCATTCGCCATGGACTTGCCGGCGCCACCAATGCACTTTGTTGGTGCGAGGCGTTTCCACGACAACATCCGGTTCGCTTGCCAGTCACTAAAATTACGCCCTTTTCTTCTCCGCTCTTATTCCCAAATACCCATTCCCTTGCCCATTGCCCTGCCCAATCCAAATCCGAATCCTGTATCCCTGTCCGCCCACCGGAACCACCGGCATTCCATTCCCCGACCCACAGGCATTAATAACACGTCCAAGCCGGGTCTCTGGGGCGGCACAGTCTCCACGCTGGAGTTCAGGGTGAACGTCACACAGGAAATGAACGGCCAGGTCTACACCTGCCAGAGCGCCAACGAAGCTCTCCAGCGCAGCGTCCACGAGGCGGTCAGCCTGGATGTCCTGTGTAAGTATGTCCCTCCTAATTGCTCAATTAGACGGGCTCTGCAATCGGCAGTCGCATCTATAAGTTGTGTCGGAGAGCTTGTAGGTATCTCCTGTGAAGTCCTCTCTCTTTGGGCACTCGGAAAATAAGTACACTTGATTGAGCTTATATTTATCCGCAATTCTGATTTCAAGAACTTTTTAATACGAAACCATAGTTCTTCATTGAAGACCTTTATTAAGCCACGTTTTAATTATACTTAAATTAAATATGAAATGTACTTAAGGCAGGTGTAAAGAGTACTTGAATCAAGTGTGAGGTTTTAAAAAAATATCGGAATATTTTGTAAATTTCCTGAAAATTGTACTTTTTTACTTTTACTTATTAATTCGTAAATAAATACTATAAAAATACTTCAGAGTATAAAATACTCGTAAATTAAGCAGTTATTCATGAGTTATCGAGTTTCCCAAATAAACAATATTTTAAATGTGTTTTTTTATTTTGTAATTTAAGTTTTATTAATTTTAATTAAAAGTTAATTGAATCATCTCATAACTTTCTGTCAACCCTGTAAAAAATGTATTGAAAAGTGAGATTGATCTAGTCCAAAGAGAATATATTTTGGCTGTAAAATATTCCTGTGACACAACATTCACCTCTAACCCTCAGATCGACCCAAGTTCACGCCGCCTCCCTCGTCGACGGCGGTCGGTGTGGAGGGTGAGTCGCTGCAGGTGCCCCTCCAAACCAATGCGAATCCATCGCCGGTGTCCTATAAGTGGACCAAGGATGGGGCCACCATCCCGCAAGATGGCGAGCATCGCATCTTTGCAGACGGCGGAAGTTTGAATATTACCCGCCTGCATCGGGATGATGCGGGAATCTACTCCTGCACAGCCTCCAACTCGCAGGGAAAGGCCACCCTCAACATCACGGTGGTGGTGGAATGTGAGTACTCCGGCTGCTACTCCCGGTGCACTTACGCTAACGGACTAATTTCGGTTTTGCCACCACAGACGGAACCACCATCAAGTCGGTGTCGGAGAACATCATCGTCAATCCCGGCGAGGACGCAATGCTCTCCTGCAGCGTGGAGGGCAAACCGCTGACCGAGGAGCACGTTAAGTGGGAGCGAGTGGGCTACGACATGACCGTGAAGACATCGACGACCTTTGCGAACGGCACCTCCTACCTGCACATCAAGGATGCGCAGCGGGATGATGTGGGCAATTTCCGGTGCGTGGCCGACAATCGTGTGGCCAATCCGACTAACCGCGACATCCTGCTGATTGTCAAGTGTAAGTGGTGCATCCCTCTCTACCTCCCTGTAACCCCATCTCCACATCATCTTTCCATTCATCTCCTCCAGTTGCTCCCGAGATTGCCAAGGCTCCGACGCTCCTGAGAGCAGCCAGTGGGACAGGCGAACGGGGCCGACTGCCTTGCCGGGCACAGGGGTCGCCCAAGCCGACGTTCATCTGGCGGCAGGACAAGAAGGACCTGCCCATCAACCGGACGTACAAGTACGAGGTGGAGGAGCGCAAGATTGACTCCCTGACCTACGAGTCCTCGCTCATCGTGGACAAGGTGGCGCCCGCGGACTACGGGGCCTACGAGTGCGTGGCCAGGAACGATTTGGGCGAGGCGGTGGAGACGGTGCGCCTGGAAATCACCTCGCAGCCGGACCCACCCCTCAGCCTCACCATCCTGAACGTCACCCACGACACGGTCACCGTGTCCTGGACGCCGGGCTTCGATGGTGGCCTCAAGGCCTCATATCGCGTGCGCTTCAGGTGAGTGATATTGCAGGTTGTGGCTTATTCACAAGATGCACGAAGAACAATTTTATCAGGATCTTTGAACTTCTTTTTAAGTTATCAAAAATATCGATCGACCACAATCAATGTTTTTTTTTATTTGTTGCTTTATTTATTTATTTATTTAAATTGTAAAATAATTTTAAAAATGAATTAACCAATTAAATTTTTTCAAATGTATATATTAAAACTATTGATAGCCAAAAGTATTGATTGTGACCGATATAAGTAGTATCGATAGTATGAAAAATTTTAAAAAATAATCAAACAATTGCCAATAAAAAGAAAAACTTAAAAAAGGTAAATTAGATATTCAATCACAAAACCTAATGAAAAGAAATGTCATAAGTTTAAAAATAATCCATTGCGCTATCGATCCTTTTGCGAATTTTACTTGAAATGAGCCAGCAAACAAAAATATAACTGAACTTTTTCTCATTAGTAAACTAAGCCTTTTGTTCAAAAGTACCATATCAGATTTTTGCCATGTGCAACTGTCACGGTTCCTGGCACTAATGAAATTGCACTCTGCCTTCTCATTTGCAGGATGGTCGACCGCGAGCAGTACAAATACATCGACGGGCTGCCCAACAGCCACAAGCTGACCATCGGCGGGCTGCGCATGAATACGCTCTATCTGTTCTCGGTGATGGCCCACAACGAGCTGGGCCAGAGCTCCTACCTGCCGGATTTGGCACGGGCCGAGACCAAAGGTAAGTCCGCCCCCGCCCCCGCTCCCTTTTCCTCTCAGTACGGCCGGCATTCAAATTGGCCGCGAGTGGGGCAGAGCATTCGGCCAGCGATGCTGACATTGATTTATGCGAGTCCGCCATTTGGCTTTTATGGCCACTGGTCCGAGCACGGGTTCGATTCGGTGGAATCGGAAGAATCGCGTAGCATGGCATCGGTAACTACTGGTAGTAGTTAGTAGGATTCGGTGGTGGTGGTGGTGATGGTGCCAGGTCAGTTGTCAGGCTGCAGCTAGTCGGCAGATTTGTGGAATTAATTAGCTAGCCAGTATGATAAGCAGCTATCAGGCTAATTAGAAGCACGCATGGAATGAGTCAAGCGAAATAATTGATGAAGTGAAATTAATCCAGAAAGTGGATTTCGTTATTGCCACCGAGAATGAAAAACTTGCATGCAAATCGGAATAAATCAGAGAACTGAAATCTGTTTATGCCTAGCTTATAAACATTTGCTCTCGAATAAAGGCAAGATAATTCACCGGAGCATCACAAATTAACTAGATAGCCTCCCAAGCCAATAAATATTATAAAATGAATTGTTATATGACGAAATGGACTTTATGCAATCAATCAGCTTGAGTTATATAATAGATCTCAGTTTGAATAGGTGGAATAATGATAATACTTTGAAATTAAACATTATTTTAGGAAGAAAAGCTTTAAGAATTTTCTACAATCAATATTGGACCAGAAATCTTTGCTAGCACGACTTTCCTTAGCCCTTTTGTAGCCAGTTCACTGCACCACCACCAATTTAGCAATTCAAATAGACGCAACTGTAGATTATGAAGCGTAAGAAATGGCCTCCAACCAGAAATGGTCAAGGGGGCATAATGTGCAGGCCGCCAGGATCCGATTTGTTGTCTCACTCAATAATCTCGTCCCGACCCTTGCTGCTCTTAATTGGAATTGCATTACGACCATCAACAACGTCAACGACACCGACGATGCGACCACCGCAAATGGCCGCTATCCTCCTCAATTCTCGTTCGGCCCACCATCTACTATCCATCCATCCATTCCGGCCCTGCAGAAGCCCCGCCCCCCTCGCATCCGGCATCGTCGCTGGGAGGCGGACCGCCGACCACCAGCCAGACGCCGCTGGGCGGCACATCTGGCATGCTCCTGGTGGGCGTGGGCGCCGGCATCGTCGTGGTCCTGCTCAACGTGTTTGTCATCGGCTGCTGTCTGCACAAACGGAACGAGAAGCGCCTCAAGCGAGGTGAGGGGATCCACTGCAGGATCCACCGTGTATCCTGCGGTTGCTGCTGCTGCCACACAGGGAGAAAAAGTCAGGAGTCAATTAGAAATTCTATTTATTTTATTATCATACATAAGAAATATAGGAAACTAGTATTTTTCGAAAGTAAATATCATATCAAATATTTTCGACATGACATTTGACATTTTTTAATTATAAAGTTTATTTAGGAACTCAATTAATAATTTCACATTAGATTCAGATTCATTTAAATAATTATATTTTTTAATATTTTTGTCAGGTCTTAGAAAACGAGAGTTTGGTAAATTAAATATTTAAAAGTTAGGCGTTCAAATAATAATTTAACTAAAATTCAGAATAGGTTTTTATGATGACGATTACTAGGTATTTCTTATTTATTGATTACCATTATCAGCATGTTTCTTATTTTCAGTTCTAATAATCTAATATTTTCATTTGAAAAGCTTTAAAGTATAGGCCTTCCTGCGATATGATCTCTGTGTACACTGGCATTGTTGCAATCCACTAAGATGGCGTTTCAAATGGAAAGCTATAGTTGGGAGCTAAAGAGCAGGGGAGTCCATGGAGTCCATGGAGTCCATGGGCATTTGAATTTCTAATTCCCCCGGCAAGGGAAGGCAGTCGCCTCCGTTATTTTCTTTTAATTTGTGGGCGTTGTCAGCGCACGTGCCCGGTGGTCAGCAATTGCGGATAGGAAAGGAAATGGGAATGGGCACGGGAATGGGAATGGACATCGCGATGGGAATCGCTGTGGAATGGCGATGGCGTCGCTAATTTCATTTGCCATCACATGTCCCGGCTCCGCTTCGCAGCCTCTACGTGATTTGCGTCACTCGCTGGTCGCTAGTCGGTCTCTTTATTTGATTTCGCTGCGTGTGCTCGCCATGCCAACCGAATTCGACCCTCGACCCCCGTTTCCTAGCCATAGAATCCATGGCCGAATCCCCGAATCTACGAATCCACGAATCCGAGTTGGATAACTGGGAACTGGGGCAGCGAACGCGTTCATTGCTATGCTCTGCGCCATTTTATATTTTTATTCCTCATGATATTATTCTCTTTTATTACAATTTCTCATTTCATTGCGCATTTATTTATTGTTTTATTTTTGCAACCATATTTTTGTTTTCTTTTTCGTTTTTTCGCTTTGTCAAGGACTTGAACTGATGCCAGCCGAGTTAACCGAGGACTCCAGCAACACACCGAATCTGGTCATAATTGGCATCTCCCTGGCGGCATTTGGCTTTCTCCTGGTCAACGCGTCGCTGGTTGCCTGGTTCTTTGTGCATCAGCGCCGCAAGAAAGGTTATTATTATTATTTGTTATTTATTATTATTGTGACTGTTATGTGGGCGCTCTGATGTTCTGGTTTATTTACTCTGCCTGTTATCTTGGAGTCGGGCTGGGCATGCCTTTGATTGAGGTTATTTCTGTGCGGGTCTCTCTGGCACTTTGAATTCCGTATTCCGAATTTCGAATTCCGAGTACCGAATGCCACTAGACAATTGCATTGCCATGTTGCAGCGGCAGCTGGCACCACTTCCGTGACACCGCCGGATGCGGAAGCGAGCGCGTTGTGCAGCTTCCGGTGGCCACTAAGGACGTCGGCATGCTCGGGCCCTCTTTATGAAGCTCACTAAACAATTTCCTGCATACGCAGGCTTCTGCGCTACTCGGGATGCGAAAGGGGGATCCACTCCAGCCGGATCACTTTCCCGCCTTGGCTTCTTGTAATTTCCGCCAGCAACCGATGCCAAGCGTGGCCAGGATGGCAAGAAGTCGAGGCAAGAAGTCTCCGGCTCGGAGTATAATGATGACAGAAAATAATGATGCATCCTGGCTGCAGAACCCAACCAACAGCAGCCAAGTGCTGCTGTTTATCGAACAAGAGACCCGGACAGTCGGCAAGACAAATGTGCATCGTTTTCTTAGCTGAATGCACAATCTTCCGGAAATCAGATTGCTTTCACGGTGCCATGGGTGAAGGGGGGAAAGTCGTTGGGATGCACGTGTCGACAAGTGTTGGACATGTTTGCCGAGGGTTGTTTATTAAAACGAAATTATTTTTCACCACTAGAGTGGAGCCAACTTTAAAATGGAAACCCTGATGGCGCCATCAGCCACAGCAATTGTTACCATTCGCCCGAGGCAGCGTTCCCTAACCATTCCATACCAACGAACTGGCAAATTTGAGACGTGGCCCGCACACACGGCGTATACGCAATGTGCCAAGCACCCAATCTCCTTTACGTGCCACCAGTCGACATGCAACACGCAGCCTCGTTGCCGGCTAACCAAATTATTTCCATTGAGCCAGGGTGAATGAGCCGGGCAGCAAATGAAGCTGCAACGCGAAGCAGCACAAATAAGCCAGAATAAAATTTATGCAAATGCACGAGTTCAGCTACTCAAAATTCCAAAAATTTAAGGTTAAAAAGGGGAATTTTTAACGATATTTAAGACATATCTCATAACATAATAGTATAACTAAAATGTCTAGAGATCCGACCATTTGTAAGTCATCTACATAACTTCATACATATATTCTTTTAGTTTTGAAAACCAGACTGAAAGTCCTTTGTTTAAGCTGGGTGTTGGCACCATATAAGGACAACGTCGTGTCATATTTGCAGCTGCTACACCCAGAAAAATGATGGACAACATTTTAGGTCATGCATAGCCTAAAACATTTTAAATGGACTAAAAGTTCCTTTTTAGGTCATGTACAGCCTAAAAATTTAAATTTTTGGTATATTTGCCCTACTATTTAGGTCCCGTATAGCCTAATATTTTAGGTCATCGAGGGCCTTAAAATTAATGAATTTTACCTAAATAAATTTGCACGGAACTCTGATACCGTTCTAGCGACGCTATAATTCCCAACCAGTTATAGCGCGGCTTGCATGGTAACCCACTTCGATCGTTAAATAAAACAGCGATTTCACTGCTGAACAGTGAAGCCTCTTCGCTCTTTTTGTGTGTTGGAATAATGACGACTTCTTGAAGACTAAGCCGACATTGACCTCGAGTTAGCTATAAATTTCTCTGTATTTACTTTATAATATGAAACATTTTTCAGTACAAATTTTTAGGCCAAATAAAGCCTAAATTTTTTTTTAAGGCAGCCAATTACCTAAAATCTAGGCCAAAAATTACCCTATTTTAGGCCATTAATGGCCTAACATTTTAGGTCATACAATCCTAAATTTTAGGCCATTCAAGGACTTAGCTCCATTTTTAGGCCAATTTTACCTAAATTCTAGGCCATTTTTAGACATTTTAGGTCATTTTTTTTTCTGGGTGTAGATGTTATTTGTTATATGTGTTCTGTCATGCAGTTTGCGTAAACATTTGACTTATGAGTTGATTAACATCTCGGGCTCTTTCACTGAAACTTTTTGATTCATTAGGCGAGCGAAAAGGGGGTCGACACGCCCCGAAACTAAACTAAACTGACTTAATCGGGGGAAAACGAAATGTGGGCCAGTTATTTTTTGACATTCTCAAACGGGAGGCACGAAGCACGAGTGGCATGAACTACAGCCGCAGGACATAAATAAGGAATTTCCCTAAGAATCCCAGGCCGGGCCAGACTCCATTATTCCTGTCCTTCTTCGCTGCCAGTGCGGCAGAGTTGAACAAATGGCGAGTGCCGGGATATGAATGCAATCCCGCTCCGCACAAAAGAAAATTCATATTTCAGTCTTGTTGCAAACAAACACACAGAGGCAACGAAAACGAGAAGCGAAGGAAAAACCCTCCTGGAAGGAACAACATTTTTATGACAATGTTGGGGAGAGAGATCTCCATCCCCATCCCCATCCCCATCCCAATCCCAATCCCGATCCCGTACCGCCAGCCCCTTATCCCTGTCAAAAGCCGATAACTGACAATGCCCAAAAGGATTTTTACTTTTCCCGTTTTCAGTGTTCACAATTTTTCCATCCATTTCGCTTTTTTTCCTGCTCGTTTTTCTTCTTTTTGTGAAGTTGTCAGAGAAACTGGTGCGTTGGCCAGCTTGGGAATGAAAGTGGGAGTGGGAGTAGGAGAAGCCTGTCGGGGGATATCTCTCTGCATATTTCAATGTTTTCGCTGGCGAAACTTGACTTGTGTTTTTGTTGCAGCCCTCGGATATGCATTTTTAATGTGCATTTGTGCCTTTGTGTCAAAATGCCGCATGGCGCACAGAAAGGAAATCCATCCCATCTCATCCTGAACCCCAAATCGGAACCCAAACCCGAAACTCCAACCCAAAAGCCGACTCTTCGGCAAACCATAAGCCCAACCGCACTAGAGGCCGCCTAAGAAGCCTTTCGCTGTAGTTGTCGCTGTCCGATAAACTATGCCAAAAGTCTGCGGTTGGCAGCTGGTTCAGTGGTTCAGCTCCGTCGCCGGCTGTCCTGCATCCTCCTCCTTGTATCCTCAGTCCGTTCCGTTGCCGGTCATCGACCACAGCCGCCATGAACAAGAGAGAGCGGCAGTGACCATCGCATCGCATCGCCTGGCCGCAGCCACAGTCAATGCCCAGTGCCACATATTTCATTCTCGTACTCGTATGAGCTGGGCCTGAGCCGGAACATCCCGAATAGCGCCATCTCTAATGTTTATTGCCCTTCGCCTGGCCCCTGAAAACCTCCCTACACTGAGGTTGAAAAGTTTGGGATTTTTTAAATGATTAAATAATAATTATAAGCTGTTTTCTACCTGGATATTAACTATATTTTCATTATAATTACTTTATAATTAGTTCATATTCCTTCGAATTTATTTTCTAAGCCTTGAACCCCTGAAAGTTCTTTCCAAGTGCCCTCTCCATGGCCCACTTAGAAGTCCAAGCGAGGAGTTGCAATCGTGAGTGGTTAACAAAGTTAGAGGGCATGGGTGTCGTAGGCCCATATGGCAATAGATTTCGTGGCACACAAAAAATGAGCCAACTTTTTAGGTAGAGACCAAATAGGAAATGGAGACATGGCAGCCATCAACACCGAGGGTGTATTATCTGTTGGCCAGGAGTGAAAACTTTACAGAGAGTGCTGGGCCCAAAAGCGAAATGGCCCGCAACCCGATCTTTGGGATATAGTTAAGTGCGACACTTTTACGACTTGGCGGGGCGAAACTTTTATGCCAACGTTGCCACCAACGATAAGACCACCCAGAAAGGCACAGGCAGAGGCACTCTATAGGCCACCCAATCCCCCAATCCTGATGGCCGCCCCACTGGCGAGCACTTGACTTTGACACTCTTTAAACAATTGACGGGGAGCTGGGGACTGGGGGAACTGGGATTTTTGGCGTGCGTGAGAGAGCTGCGACATCGAATCTGAAGAGATAAGCGCAGTGGCTGTCGTGGTCAGGGAAATCGGGCGAAATCTGGCAGAATCAAGGAGGTTCGGGGGCCTGGAGGGCTGGCTCAGCAATGTCGAAAAGTTTGCTGCTTAGGCAACTGGCCATGACAGGACGAAAGAGCGTATCCATTTGCAGGGGGGAGTGGGAAAAGGGGAGTGGAGAATGGAAAATGGGAGTTCATAAATTCGGCAGCGAACCCAAAAACAAAGCGGCGAATAGGAATAGCTCAGCATTCAAATGGCACAAAGCGGGTAAATCCACGGAAGGCATACCGCAAGTCCGGCCAGCGAATAATTGAGAGCTGTGGCCCCGGGACAGAGGGCTTACCAGAAAAGACCTTCAAAGCAGACGTCGCTGTCATTAACGTGCCCAGATGACCACAGAATCTGTCTAAGCCGCGCCCCATACACATATGTACGTATACATATATTTGTATATATCTCAGGGCTTTCGCAGCATAAGTGCAAAATTTGTAATCTCCGTGCGGCGTGGCGTGGCCGCAAAGTGCAGTGGCAACAAGAAAAACAACGAGCGGAATGCGAGAGCGGATTATTTTCCGACTGTTTTGGGTCAGAAGTGAACGTCGGCTAGTGATAAGCCCGTCCGCCGGCCATTAATGCCTCGTCTGTCTGGACCACCAGTTTCCCGGTAAATCGCGCATAGGCTTTATAGAGTTTAGGGCTTGCAAGTATAAACCAAAAACGAAACATCAAAAACTAAGGCTTTTAAATAAAATGAAATATTCATGCTAAGCACAAACTAATCTAAAAACATAAACGAGAAACATATATACATTCAAATGCAGACACTCGATTTAAATAGAAATAGTATGGGGTGCTTAGCATGTTCTAAAAAAAATAATATAAACAATTTAGATAAATGGAAATACTTTCTTATTTAAAACTAAGTTAATATTTTTGGCCAAGTTATGCAAATCAATTTTAAAATTTTTTTTAAACTAAAATAAAATATTTGTTTTAAAAAAAAATTTTTTTTTTAATTTTTTGAAATAAAAAATCAATTTGTTATATTATTATTTAATTATTTCAAAAAATATTACAAAAAAACTGAATTAGGAAAGTACGACTATTTTAAACTTAAATCCAGGGTACACCCACATAAACGCTCTTCTTACTACCCACTCTAAGCTTTTGTTTGTTAAATACATTTATGAGGGCTCTCTATCCGCACAAACACACTCGTGTAGGTAAGCGGTCATGTTTTTAATTGCCTTAATTGATTAAAGCCAGGTCTATTATTTTAAATGCCCCCTGCCCCAAAACGTCCTTCTGCCTGCCTCTCGTTTGTCGTCATAAATAAAACAACTGACAAATGCCGAAAAATGTTTTTAACTCACTAAGCCATAAAATCAGAGAGCTCTCGCAGGATACACACGTATAAATATATATAGAGAGAGATATATATAAGGCCCTGTCATCGGCAGGACAGGAAAAGATATCTGAGCCGTTCTGAACTGCGGCCCAGCATTTAAATGCATTTTCAATTTTTAATTTTTTCCCTACGAGTGCCCACACAAAAGTGCATAGATTCCGAATTGTGTGTGCATATGTTTAATGAATTAAAACACAGCGCTGGCGAATGTTGGTCAATCATAAAAAATGCAAATTGAAGCATCGGCCGCACAAACAAACAGCAGAAATATACACGAAATGGAGACAGAACAAAGCAATTTGCTTTCGAATATTCGGCTGCAATTTGTTAAATATTCATTATACATCGACAACGACAACATGGTACATAAACGTGTATAAAGTAATTTTGATAACCACCAAACATTCAATGTTCTTTGTGCAAATTAACAGAAAACGGCCATTTTATCGACTAATAGTCCCCGCATGTCACGTAACCGGAGGACGTGCCGCCCTGGTCCCCCATATATCCTCTTCCATATCCTTGGAAATGTATTATTAAGAAACCGTAGGGCCATTATATCTTTGCATAGCTCGAGGACGATGATGATGGCAATGATGGCGATAGCAGCCGAGTGGCAGGGCAATGTCCATTTACCATTACCCATTTACCTACACTCAGAAAAAAAATCGCCCTGAATTTTAGAAAATCGCCATACTTTTTAAGCCAAAGGCAGCTCGCCTTGCCTTTTAGAAAAAATATTTCTAAAAATTAGAAAAATAATTTCTTAAATTTAGGGTTAGTTTTTGCAAAATTGAATAAGAAGAAGAAAAAAACAAGAGAGAACGCTATAGTCGGGTTGGTGTCCCGACTATCTAATACCCGTCACTCCGCTAAAGGGAGTGCGAACGCTGTGTCGGGTTGGTGTCCCGACTAATAATCGTAACGCAGCTAAAGGGAGTGCGAGGGAGATAGATATATAATTTTTGATTGCGTATAACTTTTTAATGAATGGTCCGATTTGAAAAATGTCTTCTACATTTCGATAGGTATAAATATACACAACAAAATTGCATTTATACTTCTCGGAAATCTTTAAAGATGTGGGCGCAGGACCCATTTTAAAATCGTTAGTGGGCTATTGTGGGCGTTAAAGGGGGCGTGGCGCTCGGCTAAAATAAACTTGCGCTGCGTAGGAAGCCAAAGAATATGTGTGGGAAATCTCAACCTTCTAGCTTTTGTAGTTTCTGAGATCTCAGCGTTCATACAGACGGACAGACAGACAGACGGACAGACGGACAGACGGACAGACGGACAGACGGACAGACGGACAGACGGACAGACGGACATAGCTAGATCGACTCGGCTAGTGACCCTGATCAAGAATATATATACTTTATGGGGTCGGAAACGCTTCCTTCTAGCTGTTACATACTTTTGCACGAATCTAGTATACCCTTTTACTCTACGAGTAACGGGTATAAAAATCGGGGAATCGGGAGTTATGCCGATGTGGGGTGTTGTTGTTGGGGTTCTCGTTTCTCAACTTATTATTCTCTCCTCTATTTAAACACTTGGATGACGTCACGATGCTTGTACACAAACACACCTTTAATCTTAAATTGTAACTGAAATAGTAACTGAAATTATTATATTATTTATTAATGATAAACATAAAAATCAAATAACTTACTATCTTGAGAAAAACATTTTGGTCGCTCGCGGGAATCGAACCCCTTACCTCACAGTTTGCAGTCAAACACTCTACTAGCTGCGCCAGGGAAGCATCACGAGAGGCGCTGTACAAAGTACATTCTCATTCTGTTCTCTTGGGTTTTAGGTTTATAATCTTATTTATCCATTATGTGTATGTTAGCTTACCTAAATCCTTATTTGTATTAAAGTAATCATATTAATGAGCAAAAAAAAAAAAAGAAAGACGCAAAAAATGTCCGCCTCGACGTGGGATCGAACACACGCTTCCGAATATAAGCGTAGAAAACAAATAATCCGCTGGCATTAGACCCCTAGGCTACCGATTGGGCCAATTTCCTAAAATGTAAGGCGATTTTTTCTTAGTTTGAAAGAAAAATTTCTGAATAACAGAAAATTTTTCTAAAAGTGGATAACAAGAGAAGTTGATCTAATCAGGGTAAGTTTTTCTTATTATTTAGAAAAATATTTCTGAAAAATAGAAATATTTTCTGAATTTCAAGGCGATTTTCAAAGTATGGCGATTTTCTAAAATTTAGGGCGATTTTTTTTCTGAGTGTATATCGCCATCGGTAGGAACCTGGGAGAAATGGGGGCTACATGTAGCCACACGTGTCTATGGCTTTTTGCTGTTCTGCTGACTCCGCTCAGCCCGTAATCGTTATAAATTCTGTGGCACCCTGGAAAAAAACGCTCGAGAACAACAAAAGCATATAGTACACACAAAAAAGTTCTTAGTAGAATGGGAATGTGATCTAAAATATTTTATATAACTATTTATTTTGTATAGTTTTATTTAAAAATTTGAAACAAAACAAGTTACAACTAGACAATTTTAAGGCTCTTTTTCAAGTACGGCAGCAGCAACAACCAGGAAAATTGGAAATCTTTATAACATATCCTATAATATTTACTATTTTTATATACTTTACATATCCCATCGCCTCGCATCTGGAATGTGCAACAATAATGGACTCAACTTTGCGGCAAACACGTGTTAACTTTTGCGGAAAATGTGTCATAAATCATTTAATTGCATTTTACCTTTACCGGAATGTCAACTCATTTATATTTCCCGATATGCCTTACATTTTTTCGCCACGGCATCGAAATGCACATCAACGAATGCTGCGACAAATGTGAATAATTAACACAATGCCTGCGACCCGTGTAAACACTCAAACCACCTTTAAACGCCCATTACACAACCCCAATCACCCAACCACCCATCCACCCTCCAAACTCCTGTTTCTGGCACTTTGACAATCTTGGCTATTTGCATTTGATTTGCATTGCCTGAACCGGTCAACTACAACTACTACAATTGGCCACCTCATATCCACCTTCTGGCGCACTGCATCAACGCCCGCTCAAAAAATAAACCCCATCCTCCATTTCCACCTGGCACCGCTGCGAATCATCAATTTTCGGGATGTCACTGCCAATTACACCTTTTCAATATTTGTGCGCATACCTGGCCGTTCCTCGTGGCGTCGGAATTCCTTCTTTTTTCGCCCGGCGTTCGGAATACAGTGGCGGAAACTACAAATCAACCGGCAAAAACGGCAACCATCGAGATGTACGCGCCCAGTTCGTATAATGACACCGTTACCGGCGAGACGCTGTCCAGCGTTTCGGAGAAGAGCGAGTCCTACTCCAATGAGGGCAGCAGCCAGCCGGAATATATTGTGAGTACACAGGGATCTACCTACGAACCTACGAAGTATTTTTTGCTTCCCATTCTTTTTTTATTCCAACTTTTTCGTCATTTTTTTTTTTTTTTTTGGATGAGCATGAATATGCAATTTGTGAATGGGCACAAAAACGAATTGGAACATGGGAAAAGAAAGGGCAAGAGAAGGGCAGAGGAAGGATAAGAGCCAGCAGTGGAAAATCGTCTGGCATTTTAGGCATTTTCCATTGCTAAATAGATGTCCTGCAGGCGCAGGGGCGTCACTTGGCATTTTCACCGACGGAGAACGGTGCGATTTCCCCGAAGTCATTCAATTTAAATATTGCTTTCTATTCGGTGGCTCTTTTATCCATCACACCGATTTTGAATGCACTGGCATTCTTATAGATTGATGATTTATCCAGCAAAGCCATAAAATAGTTATTCAAAAATCTTTTGCCTTGAAGTATACTCTTACTACTTTGATTAAAAATGAGTATATTAATAATAACAACATAAAAAGTTTTAAAAAAAAGTTCTCCTTCCATAGAAGCCAACTAAATTAAATGATTTTAATATTAAAAAACTTTTCTAAATAATGCTAGAAAATCACTGAGAAGCCAGAAAATAGCTTCAGGTGGATGCCGAAGATGAAACAAATACTATAAAGTTGGCATAAACAAAACTACAAAGCAATTAATAAGCCACAAAATAAATTAATGGCATGATAGGGCTTCGAGTCGGTTGAAGCAAGTCTAACTTACTCCTAATATTAGGGGTGGTCAATCCCCCTGGCCTGCGGCCCTGGGTTTTCAATTATTGCCAATGCTCTCGAAACGAGAGCTCGTCGAGTGAAAGGCAGGAAGTTCCAGACCGGGCCCAGACCAAGAACAGGTCCGGACCAGCGGAGCGGAAACGGAAGCGGCATGCCGACGTCGTCGCTAAGACGTCGTGATTAATTACGCGACGCTGATGATGATAATGATGAGCTAGCGAGTGGGCTAAAGCGGAGAATAAACCAAGGAACCGAGGAGTCTGGCTCTTGAATCCGGGCATCTTGAGACTGCGAAGACTGGGAAGCTGCTCGAAACAAATCGTTTCAAATTATTAAAATCATTTATTATAGCCGTAATCTTGCAGCGGCAGGAAAACCGCAGCAACGGCCTAACCCGCAGAAGCTGCGAGTAAAAGTATGTAAAGTGCGTAAACTGCGACCGCGCGTGTTATAAATCAGTCCCCGATCCGATCCCGTTGCCTGGGTGTCCTTGGGCTTCGTCCTTGCTGTCCCGGTTGTCCTCGCTGTCCGTGTGTCGCCGCTGTCATTGTGGCTGTCAATTACGCGCCAACGACTTTCAACGCCTTTGCCAAAGTATGCCGAAAAGCAAAGTGTGGAGTAATTACGGGGCATTACTCAAATGGGAATGAGAATATAAATTGATATATACCCCGTATACCATCGCATCTGCCGCTCTTAACCCAACTCCTATCCCATCCCTCTTTATTCGCAGGACGAGGCGCGCAAAAAGGCGGCGTCCACGTATCTCGTCGAGGGCTCGGATATGCCGCCGCCCAGATATCAAAAGGATGGCACCCTGCCAGTCATATACCCGAATAACATTGGTGAGTTGATATAGCAAAAATAACTGCTTTAATAATTGGGAAAATTCGGGTAAATAAAAATAAAGATATATTATATTTTTAAATGATTTTTTTTTCATTTAAGAAACGGAGATCATGTTTTAATTATTTATTGTACACTGTAGCCCAAAGTTTAAACTTGGGGAACAGGAAAAGAACCGGCCATAGTTGCAAAGACTTTCGGCCGGGATATCAGATTATTTTTACAGTTTACTTATTGACTATTCTTTACATTTTGGGAAGAGAGGTTGACAATTTAAATTAGTTGTAGTAGGTTGGTTGATTTTAGGAAGTTAAGGATTTGTTGAATATTTTCAAATGAAGGATTAACTAATAGGTCAGTTAGTTTTATATTTGGGTTACTAGGTCTATGTGTTTGAAAAGCGGTGCAGTCGTTGAAGATGTGTGAGATCGATATGGTGTCGGTGGTGCAGAATTGGCATTGGCTATTTATTGGTTGGGAGAATCGGTATTCATGGGTCAGTCTTGTGTGTCCTAGGCGAAGTCTGATGATTTTGGTTAGCTCTCTTCTTGGTAAGTTGCTAGTTTGTGAATTTTTGGTGTAGTCGTTAATGTTTTTCGTTGATAGACTTATGTTTTTGTACCAAGGGGACGCTTTATCCAGAAGATTTGACTGATTTTTCAATAGGTTGGTTTTTAGGAGTTTATTGATGTCGGTGCGGTTTACATTCGGGATGGTGATTAGGGGTGATACTGTTGCGTCCTTAGCTGCTGCATCGGCGTATTCATTACCTTTTATCCCAATGTGACTAGGGACCCATAAAAGTTTGATTTTTGTAGTGTTTCTTATGAGTAAATCTCGGATCGTTGCAATATAGAATGACTCATTGTTAATGTTTAGAATAGCTTCCAATGTTGAAAGAGAATCTGAACAAATGCAGGTTTTCTCCCTTTTTTTTGTGGCTATTTTAATTGCTTCCAGGATTGCAATTGCCTCTGCTGTAAATACCGATGAGTAATTCGGTAGAATGGCTTTTTTAATAACCTCCTCTTCTGATGTAACTGCTAGGCCAATTATTTCTTGGCTTTTGGATCCATCAGTATAGAGGAAGTTAAAATTCTTGTTCGTCAGGTTATTCTTGATATCTAGGAATTTTTGTGTGTAAGTTTCCTTATTTGTGGATGATTTTTTGGCGCTGCTTAATTGGATATCTATTAGGCTTGTATCCATAAGCCAGGGAGGTTTTGATGGTTTGAGCTTGTGGGGAGGTGAGATAGGGATATCTAAATGCTGACAGCTATTTATGCATTTGTTGATTGTAGATTTTCTGTATTTTTTATTTTTCTTCTTGTAGATCCGTTGTATGATTTGATTTAGAGGGGTGTCTTTGGCCTGTAAAATGGTGTGAATGGATTTTGCTTTTAAGTACTCGGTTCTGTTTTCTATTGTTTGGATGTTTGCTTCAAGGTAGAGGTTGTATGTGGGCGTAGAGCAAAAGGCTCCTAGTGCTGTTCTTAGGGCTGAGTTGAGTAGAGTTTTAATCGGTTTTATTGTAGCTTTGGTTGAGGTCCCGTATATGGGCAGAGCGTAGTCTATTTTGGAGATGCATAGGCTTCTAACGATTTCAATTAAGGTGTGGGGGTGGCTATTGTATTTTCTGCTCGATAAGCATTTTATTATGTTTAGTGATTTGTCTATTGATTTTTGTAATTTCTTAACGTGTGGCTTGAATTTGTATCTGGAGTCGAAATTTAGGCCTAATAGGGTCAGTTCATTAACAGTTTTGATGTTAGTACCTTGTGTAGAAACCTGGCATGAGCAAAGTCTCTTTCTGCATATGTGTATGTGCTTACACTTCGAGATAGAGAGCGTGGCCCCTGATTTCTGACACCATTCGTTAATCTCATTAAAAAGAGTATCAAGATTTATCGAGACATTTTTGGTTTTCTTTAGATTAATGAAGATGTTGAAGTCGTTTGTCTACAATCTCTGAGAGGCTGTTAAACGCAATCAGGAATAGGATGACCGAAAGTGGAGATCCTTGCGGGATGCCGTTGTGTAGTGGGTGTATCCTCGACGTGCTATCATTGGCTCTTACCCGAATTTTTCTATTGGACATAAAGTTTGCGACGTAGTTGGTTATAATAGGGCCACAGCCCCATTCCGAGAGTTGTTTAGTTATTGTATGAAGACCTATTTTTTCAAAAGCTTTGGCGAAGTCGAGGGATATGATGGATAGGTGTCTCTTTTCCGTAAGGGCTCTGTTTATGAGCGCGTCTGCGTAAAGTAGACAGTCCATAACAGATTTCCCCTTTTTGAATCCAAGTTGACGACTATTTGGTAGCTTGTTGGATGTAGCAAACCACCAAAGCCGTTTTGAAATGATTTTGTCTAAGGTTTTTGATAGGCAGGGATTGAGGGAGATTGATTTGTGTATTGGAATTATGGTGCTTGTTTTGTAGGTTTGTGGAATGTGAGATCTTAGGATATTGTTAAAGAAGTTAATGATTCTAGTTTTTACTGAGTTTGAGACGTGTTGGATCATTGGGTAATTTATTTTATCATGTCCTGGCGTATGTCCTTTTAGGCTGTTTAAGGCTGCTGAGAATTCGATGAAGTTTATATCCTGTTCCATAAAGGTGGCTGTTCTGCTTGTGGGGTTAACGTGGTTGGATGAGATGAATTTTTGTTTTTCTTCAATGAAGCTCGTGGAGAACTGAGTGTCCTCTGAGCGAAGCGACCAGAATGTTGCGAAAGCGTCTGCAATTTCGTCCGGGGAGGTTAGAAGGTTGTTACTACTATCGTTTTTAATCGCATGGATTTTTGTGGCTTTGTGAAGGCCGCAGAGTTTTCTTATTTTGCTCCAAATTGCTTCTGGTTTGGATTGTGGTGTGATTGTAGAGGTGAGTTCAAACAGGCTGTCTGCTTTGCTTATTTTTATTTCTCTTCTGTATTGGGCGTTTAGTCTTTTGTAATTAATTAGGTTATTTGTTGACATTTCTCTATTAAAGGTCCTCCAGGCCTTCATTTTTCCTTTCTTTAAGGCTTCTAGTTTTTTATTCCACCAGGGGACATTGTGGTGAGATTTTGGAGGTTTGGTATGTGGGATACTGTTGTACGCACTTTGGAGAATGATTTTGTTGATATTGCTTGCTTCCTTGTTGATATTTGAAGACGTTGGGATGGAATTGTTGAGGTTGCCTGTAAGGCTTTCAAATTTGTCCCAATCCGCTTTATTCGTTACAAAACGTTGTGTAAAGTTGTCTTTTTTGTTTCTGTTGCTTGGGAACATTTTGATGGTAATAGGTTCCAAGGTCGGGCGAGCAAAAAGCTACGTCGACGTGCGTGAGTGATCTATGGGTTGAGAAGTGAGTTGGTTGACCGTTGTTAAGGATGATGAGGCCGTTGTCAAGGATGAATTTTCCAAGAATTCTTCCCCTTTGATTGGTTGTGGGGGATCCCCAGTAGCTGTTCCAGCTATTGAAGTCTCCTGTAAACAATGTTGGGCAGTTTCCTAAAGGAACTATTGAGTCGAGGTCTGTGTGAGTAAACTTTCTGTTCGGAGGGATGTATGTTGAAACAATATTGAGTTTTTTAACAGATTTAATTTCAAGTGCTACGGTGTCGATTGTGTTTTGAAGCGGGATTGTTGAGTGTTCTATTGATTTGTGTATTAGAATTGCTGCACCGCCATCCGGGCTGTGCGAGGATGTATGGTGAAATTCGAAGTTTATTGGGATTGGTAATTTTTGGTAGTAAGTGATGTGGGTCTCCTGGAGGGAAACGATTTTAGGATTAGGAAGTTTAAGGGTCATTTTAGTTTTGGTTTTGTGTTTGATTGGAGGAGGAAAGGGCTTTAAGTTTTGATCTAGTCAATACAGAGTTTTGGTCATTTTTTAATAGTCTTTTTGTTCTATTTGAAGTGTTTAGTGGTACGATTTTGGTTTTTCTTTTTGTTGTACGGTCCTGGTTGGGGTCTTGTATTTCCGAGCCTGATGACATGGGTTCATCTGGTACGAAGTTAGACGCATTCGCTTATGGTTCTCCGTTGGGTAGGTGCTGCTGTCGTTGTGGGTGGTTGGATTTGACCAGGCTGTCCTGTTGTCCACTTTATTTAAGGTCTTAATTGCTTGAACTTCCTTGTGTGATAGGAAGACTGGACAGTTTCTGTCGCGAACGTGATGATCTGTGTTAAGTAGTTTTTTCTCGGTGCAATTGATACAGTTTGTTTTATTTAAGCATATTTGTCCTTCCTCTGTGTGAGCTGCAAGGCCGCAGTTTGAGCAGATTAGCTTGTCCTTGCAAAAGCTTGCGAGGTGTCCAATTCTCGAGCATGTTTTGCAGCGCATTGGAGGTGGGATGTGGGGACGAACCTGAACTCTTTCGTATCCTATGTAAATATGTTCTGGGAGAGTGGTTAATTTAAATGTTAGTTTAATAAGGCCTGTTTCATTGCTTGCCGTTTTTTGTGTGATTTGACCAGGGGTATATCTGTAAATTTTTTCCAGTTCTAGATCGTTCGAATAAATCACACCTTTTGTGCAGTTAAGACTTCGGTGTTCTGTAATTTTTATTGGGATATTGATATATGGGGTGTTTGAGGGTATGTTGTAAAGTTTCATTAATTTTTCAGCTTGTAACAGGTTTTTGGTTTGAATTATAAGTTTTCCATCTCTGGATTTTCTGCAGCTTATGACTTCTCCTTGGATTGTGTTGTCTATTGTTTTCTTAATGATGAATGGTGAGAGTTCAGCAAGAGGTTTTGGATCGTCATCTTTCGTAGTCGCTACTAGGAATAATCCGTCTGGAGGATGTTTCCTCCAGATGTCTGGAGGGTCAGGCATGATGGGGTCAACAAACTTTAAGGCTTCTTAAAGGCTGCCAAAATTTTCTGTAGCACTGTTCGAGAAATAGATAAGGGATCACTATCGTTGCGTTTGCTTTGATTTTGTGTTGGTTTGTTGCGGTACTTTTACGTTTCGCGGAAGAACACGTCCGATGGCTTAGGCTGTCGAGTGTGAACTGTCAAAAGGATGGCACCCTGCCAGTCATATACCCGAATAACATTGGTGAGTTGATATAGCAAAAATAACTGCTTTAATAATTGGGAAAATTCGGGTAAATAAAAATAAAGATATATTATATTTTTAAATGATTTTTTTTCATTTAAGAAACGGAGATCATGTTTTAAATATTCACTTTATGCCTCTAAAGATATATACGAAATCAAATAACTTCACTTTTGATCCATTTTATCGATTCAAAAGCGATTTATTTTTCCCGGTGCCAAACAAAAAAGCCAGAAATACGTTTTAGATAATTAACTTTCGGGCAAAACAAAGTTGGGACTTTGCACGCGCTGTCAGGACGTCAGCAAACCGACCATATAGCCCCCTTAACCCTCTGACGCCCCTGCCTGCACTGGTTTGCACTCGTTTTGGTTTGATTTTTATGCCATGATTGCAGTGCAATCAAAGCAAATGTTGAAAAAAGGGAAAAGAAAATCGTAAAAGGGGGTTTGGACAGGAGGAGGAAATAAATATACAGAGAGCGAAAACGAAATCGAAGCGTTTGGGGCAAAAGGAGGGCGAAGAGTGCGAGCCGAGAATTCAATTCGAGCACAACATCTCCATCTTAATTGTAATTGAGGAGCAAAGTTTTTGTCAGTCTTGATTTTCAATTGACGTACGTAAGGATGTGCGAGGGTATACCACATACTATACTATGTATATATAACTTGAGGCGGAATCGAAATCACGTGCGGCCTGCGCTAATTTAGGAAAAAAACTCAAGACTCGAATTGTCGAATTTAGGGAAAGCAAAAATGGAAATGGAAGAATAATAATCGAGGAAAAGTACTCTGTCTGAGCCTGAGACCCAGACAAAGGACACCGTGGCAGTCTATCAAAGCGTCGAAGCTGTAAGAACAACAGGAGTTCTATAATAACAATCCGTCCAGTTGGAACAAAAGCAGAGAATGCATTTTAAATGCAAAAGCGTAGAAATAATAAAAATACATTAGCTGCAGAACTTATCCCTGGGGGCAAAGAGTGCCCGAGACTCTGAGACTCTGGGATAAAAAATACAATTACCTTGTGTCAACGGCATGAAAAATTGGGAAAGCTCTATTCCTCTTTCTGTTTTTTCCTATTTCTGTATTCAACAAATAACAATGGTGGGAAATTTTCCTATTGAATTAGATAAATTTGAGGTGGACTCGAGAGCATATTTTTTTTTTTGGTCGGATTCACGGCTTATTCTCATCACTCACAATTTATAGGTGCATTGTCCTTGAATTTAACTTACTAGTGCAGTAAAAATCGTTTTGATATATCTATGATATATTTTCAATACAAAGTGATCACAGTAATAATCGATTTTAACTTTACCATTTATAAAATGACTCTCAAGTTGAGAGTCTCAACTATCATATCACGTGCTCACCTCTAAGATAAACCGAAGACAAGGTCTTGCCGCCCACTTTTCCGCCCACTGTTCCACCTCGAGGTTTCTGCGGCGACACGCATAATTACGTATGTATGTACATCTCGGGTGTTCGTGAGTACCGCCATTTTCTTTATGCCCGGAACAACAACATGGGAACACCAGAACAGCAGAACGAGCTGAAAAGAAAACACGCCGAGGGAGAAGAACAACAAAGACAAAGGCAGCGAAGAAAGGCGGAAAAGAAAGCAAAAAAGGGAAGAAAGAAGGAAGAGCCGGAGAGGAGAGTGCAAAAGAATCCCCCACGTGGCACAAAAAATTAAAATGCTTGCCGGAAGCTGAATCTCAAACAAGCGAGCCCAAGGCTGTTGTTTCAAGCGGGCGGAAAAGCGGGCGGTGCACCCATTTCCCTACAATCCACACCCCACCACCCACCGGGAAAAGCTGGGGGGCGGCATGCACATGAGCTTAACGGGGCGGGGCAAGCGGAAATTGTTTTTGTTAGTTGGCGTCACATTTTTTATCAGAGTTTTTTGTTGAATTTAAATTGGTAGAGAGTGATGGGTGAAAGTCAGAGGAATATGGCCAAAAACGAAAAAATAAACGGATGACAACCCAGGGGGTTTTCATTTTACCACCCCACCAACAGTTGCAATTTCGTTTACCATTTATGCAGTTACACGAGGAAAGCGGCAAAGCCGCACTCTTAATGAGACTCTTTTCCACACGTTGCCATGTTAATGAGCAGACCAAAAAAGCAACAAGTCCGGGCCTCTGACCCAGTTTCTGACCTTGAACGAGTGCAGGCACCCAGAAACCTCTTTAAACCCCTTTGGTTGGAGCATATTCCCTGACTATAGCTCACGGCTGGGCCCCCATTTTTCAGCTTATACCTGAAATATTTCTTATCTTGACTCCGGCTTGGCCCAACGTTATTAATACGAAATGAACTGGGAACTGGGGAACTGTAGCCTGCTAGAGCTCCTGACCCGGGCAACAATTATCAAGCTGCCACAGAACCAAATTGGAACAAAAATACACTTCATTGTTCGACTTCTCTTTTCGGCACAACAATGCGGCGCTGATCGAAAAATCAATAATTCATGAGTGACTGTCTTTTAGGGAAACACACACCCACATATGCGGAAGTAAACAAGCCGCAAGATGAACAAGGCCCAAACTCAGGTCTACCACAAGGTTTCCTTCGATTTGTCGTTGTCAGGCAGCCGCAGGTTCGCAACTTTGCCTGGAAAATTATTCTTGCGAGGGCTAAAGGAACCCCCTCCCCCTGAAAAGCAATTCAGCGATGTCACAGTCTATTTTACAAAATTACAAATTTGTTACGTTTGCGGCTTTCACGCCTCTGCAGCTGACAGTCGCTCGCTTTTCAAGGAACGTGCCAGTATGTCGGGCCAATTTGTCACGCCGCAAGCAGGTGGCCTTATGGCCAACTGAAGACTCCATTGACATTTGCATATTTATTGGACGGGCTTATCAGCAATGTCGCAAGCATTGCAATTAATGGCCATCGTTTTCTTTTCCTTTCCAAGCGTTTGCACATGAAATCGGCCAGAACCAAGCAGCAAATTGTTGCATGCTACGTGTGGTGGCCTTAAATCTTAAATCTACAGGTGTGTTCTCGGTTGCAAATACTCTTCAATAGTTGCAATCTGTGGAAATTTACCTTAAAAAGTGTATTTTATTTAAGTTTACGTTAAGTTAATCTTCAAATTACGTTTATTAGACACTTAAAACCCATTTAACATTAGTCCACCCGGGGGCGCCAAAAACCTTTTCATTTTACACAAAAATTAGTATCCTAAATGCCTTTGTGAGTTGCAAGAGCTATTAAAAAAAGCTTAAATATCGAACACCAAAATAAGAAGAGAGCTAACAGCATGCATGTGCAAACATGTGAATATTTTTCGAATATTTAAACCGTTGCTTGCAGTTGAAAAATGAAAATTGAATGCGTTTTGCATTTCTCCATTTGCGGCTGGCCAGGAAAACGGCGTGCTCCGCTTATGGTCGCAATCAAAGCTTAAGCCATAGCCAGAGCCATATATATATGGGAAAAAATATAGGAAAATAATCAGTAGAGCGCAGCACGTACCCCACAAAAAAAGAGAGAAGGAATGGGGGCATTGGTATTGGTAAGCCATTAAAATCAACCCAGAGCAGGCTAAAGTGGGCTTATTGGCCACAAAAAAATAGCACCAATGCATATAAAATCGAGCTCACTTTGACTTAAGCACATATTAACCGGATACTGTTTTTTTCCATCTCCATGTATTTTTTCCAGTGAATGCCTGTACTCTGCCGCACCCGAGGCACAATAATGGCAGCGCCGCCATCCACATGACCCGGGACGATCAGATGCTAATCAGCAAGGGCGTCTATATTCCGTCCCCGTCGCCGGCGCCGCCGCCAGATGGCTCCTACTACAACATGAACAGCGACAGATACTTGTCCTATCCGCCAATGGTAAGTGAGATCGATGAACTCCGGGGCATTGCAGGCGGGGACTTGGCTGAGACCCAAGCTTAACGAACGGCAGATGCAAGCTTAATTGCCCGCATCTGCAGTTACCAGTTACCTTCTTTGATCCGCTGCCATCTGGCACCACCCCTCCTTTGTCGCCTGGATTATTGCGCTCAATTAACCAAAGTTTTACGAAGGACACTTGGCACTTTGCATCCCGCCATGCGAGGGCTCCATAAATCCATGTATCGATCTTCTGGGCCGGGGAGTCGCACATAGAGTGCATCTTCTCCCTGCTGGCATTTAACGCGCTTCGACTTTTATAATCCGCAACACTGTAGAGACAAATGACAAACTTAAAAGCATTATAAGTAAGCCCCTCGAAGCAGACTGCACTGCGTTGATGTTGTTGTTGCACTGCACTACGAGCGCAGTGTAAACATTATTTTCCCCAGGCAACAATTTAATATCACGCATACGCCGCGTACGGCAGATGGCAGAGTGGCAGCTTTTACGACGAAGGAACGCCCACAGATGCGACAAAGTTTTTGGCCCGCGTCACTCATAAAGCGTTGGGAATGCCGGGGCCAAGTTGTCCCCGATTTTTACCCCGAATTCCACCTCTGAATCTCAGAAAAGCACCGCAGCCAGTCAAGGACATGCGATGTCCGTATGTCCGCATGTCCGTCCCATTCCAAGGCGGATGCCACACATTCGGCGCTTGTCGCATTGCCTGCCAATATAAATTCCGCAAATTTCACAATAAACATGGGGAAATCAATTTTCGGAATTTATGTTTCCGACGCTCCTTTCAGGGAATAAACGTCCCCTCGGACTTGATGACTCCTGGCACTAAAGGGGTGCCAATGCGACAGCATAAGACGACATCCGACGTGGGATGACAGTCAGCCCGTTTATGTGTCGTCTCAACTTGGCTGACGCCCGATAATTGTATAAATTAGATGGGGGGAAGGCGAACGGATGGAAAAGTGCAGCAGCAGCAGTAGCAGTAGCCGAAGGGTAGTAATATCCAGGGGATATTACCCAGCAACATCTGGCGGCTGCACAGCTAATATAATAATATTTATGCTTAGCAGTTGACCATGTTTATGGGCTTTATACGATTTGTTAAGTTATTCAATTGTGTCCCGCTCCCCAAGAGTACACAGTTAAATGATCTGGTGGCTGTGGATTCTGGATTGTGGGGTATCAAGTATCCAATGCCCAGTATCCCGACATCCTAGCAGCCAGTGCTCCGTCATCGTTCTTTGCCATCGCCCCGACATGGGACTAAACCTTTTGTTTGCGGTTTTTAGTCAACGAGGGAGAAAAATTCAATTTCGGTTTAGTTGGTCAACAATGACATCCCATATGTATGTCTACATATGTGTGTATAAACCAGACCGACCAACCGACCACTTCACTTCACTCCATGGCCCATGGAGCAGCCACTCCTTCCGCTTTGTGTGCCGGGGCCTTTTGCCATTTCACATAAGAAATGTTTTGTGTGGAAGCCAAATTGAATTATTTGATAAACATCATTAGAAAAATTACAAAATATACAGAGCAGAGCTGAGCAGAGCGGCAATTCCAGTCCCTTCGCTGTGTTGTGTGGCTTCCCGAAAACATTTGGCTAGCTCTAAATTACTTTTCGAAGAGCATCTGTCTCCGTTTCAACTTCAGTCAGCTTCAGCTTCGACTTTCTCTTCAGCTACAGCTTCAGCGCCACGTACCCAAACAGACAGTAAATGAATAAGGACAATTTATAACAGTAAATCAAATTAAATTTCAATTGGAAAACTTGACAAAAAACGAGGGCACACAGAACGAAATAAAACAAAACAAAATGGCCATCTAACAAAGTTAGAGCATCGCATCGTTTTGCACATTAGTCCCCGAGGGGGACCGTAGGACCCATCTGCCCATCGGACTTCCTCCGTCCGGTCCGCCATAATTGCCCATCACAACTGAATCCTGGACCCCTCCATATATGTGAATTCGATTCGGCTCGACCAGTTTATCACAAAGCGCTGAAAAGTGATTGAGCAGCTTCTTAATCAATTTATGTCATTTCGTTGTGCAGCTGCCATTTATGGGATTTGATTTAACTAGCTGCAGTTTATTTAGTTCGTTTTCGCTTTATGTGAATTAAAGTCAATATTAAAATACTTGAATATAATATGGTTGCAAGTTAGTTAGTCAGCAAAAAGTCAGCAAAAGTCAGCAAAAAGTCGTATTCATTTACAAGCAAAGAGTTCCATTTCATTTTAATACCTACCTTACCATACCTTCGAATGGTTCTTTAGAACTATTGGTTAACTTAAAGAATATTTCTTGCCTTTCATTTAATTCATTCAAACTTTCAACCAATTAATTTGCTTTGAAATTCAATTGGGCAGCCTTCTTAAATGTTTATTATTTAAGAAAATGGAGACTTAAGAGAATAGGTAAAATATATTTTTCTGTTGACTTCTTTAACAAGTTTATCTCAGTTCTCTTGGACCTCAAATGTATTTAAAATAACTAAAATAATAATTTTTCTTTTAAGTTTAGAGATTTAAGTTGGTAATTCAAATTTCAACATAGTTTTCTTGATTTTATCAATATGCCATTTAAGTGATTTTTCTGTTGAAAGGAAACTGCTATCAGTAGCTGATTGATTTGCCCTTTCGGAGCAACAGGATGTCCCAGGGTAAACGCCTCGAGGACTTCGGTAACCGCTCCCTTAGCCGTTTCCACATCCGTTCATTGGCACGCAAAGTGGCCCGAAGTAAATGCAATTTAAAACAAGTTGTGGCCACACCCAGGCAAAGCCAGATCGAGAATGGCCACCCACCCACTCATCCATCCGTTGCGGTGTTTTTGTCCAACCAGCTTGTAACTATTTAAGCGGCAATTTGTATTTTATTGCCAACTTTGGTTGGCTTCCAAGGCCAGAACAGAAAGTCTCCATCTCCATCCCCATCTCCATGACCAAACCCATTCCCACCCACGTCAGCCCAAAAATGCTCGAGTTTCATTTGGCTGGCGTTGATAAGTTAAATGCTGACTGCCGGACGCAGTTGGAATCCCTATGTGGATGCGAACTACGTGCATATGTGGCCATGCGGAGCAGCCGGAGGGCAGGGACTTGACTTCAGCCGGACAACTTAACTACGGTTCACTTTGTTAACTTGAGTTCTGCACAGTTTTAAATTCAATTAGTTTTCGTGCGGGCGAATCTGTATCTGTAACTGGCCATTGTCTGACTGCCACTGAGCTGTCAGCTGCAAGAGGAGCCGGGTAGCTGGAGGCAGGGTAGCGAAGAAGTATCCGTCAGATACTTTACGCACTGGAAACTCAGTTCGCTGCGGCTGTCATCAAAGCGGGAAACGCGAGTGTTTTGTTTTAAAATTCATGGGGCGGGCGCGAAACGCGCAGCTGAAGCCGATTAAATAAATAAGGGGATCCACTCCTAGTGGGCCATAATTTAATTTTCGCATCCCGCTCACTCGCTCGCTCCTTCGGAATCATAGACCTTGGCCCGCTGGCGCCGCTCCGTTGGCCTTAATGGGCAAAAGTTTCTTTTTTATGGCCAGTGTGGAGATGCCAATTGGTTATTCTATTTACCCGGAATGAAGTTCCAACTCCGGCAGTAACAACAATAATGAGCTGCGGCCGAGAATTAGCGAGCGCGGCACACAAAAGCCTTTAAGTGGCCAAAAGTTTAGCACGCAGCAGAGCAACTGAAAAACCCTTTACGCGACCAGGACACGCGAGTCCTTGAAGAAGTCCTGGTCCCCATCCTGAGCCCCCAAATCGTCTTGGCTTAGCTGTGGAGCTCTCGGGGCTCCAAGTTTTCGTTAAAGACAATTTAACTTTGTAAACTGATACAAAATGTCCGCCCCGGTCTACTTAAGACCTCTTCCTTGCAACCTTGTTAATCAGTGTTGAGTGTTGTGTCCCTAATGTGTTGCTGTGCTGGATGTCCTGGATGTCCTGGCGCTGGCCATGTTAATCCCCCCGCAGAGTTTTTAATTCCGCAATCGTAGGTACTCGATGCCCCTTAATATTCCAATTAGGTGCACGGGCCAAGTTTGCAACTCGAAAGTTGTACGTGCTGCAAACTTGGCCCGCACATCTGGACTCCTGGCATGCGGAACAGGAGCGACTTCCTCAACTGGCACAAAGTGTCATGTCAATTGAACTAGAGGAATCCACTCGCCGACAGTTTGCTTTTTTTCCGTATTCCGTTGCCCAGTTGAACAGTTTCCCAGTTGAGAAGTTGTCAGCGAGTTGTATTGTATAGCAGAGCGATGGCAGAAGGCGCTGTCATAATTACGGCATCGTTAGTGCCAATCTTCGCTTTAATGCCGCCTTTTCAGGGAAAAGTGGCCAAAGGATTCGCGGCGCGGATAGAGTCCACGTCCAGGGTATTTGAGCCTCGGCTTAGAGCGGACTTTTGTTTGCGCTCCTCATTGTTTCATATCTCGGGCGACAGTTTAATGGGAAAACTTTTGCCGCTGAGCCAACAGAGCAGTTCTATCCCGCCGAAGAGCCGCGATGAAGCCGCTTAGCTAAGCCTACGCATACTTAATCCACACTGGAAAAAAAGGGGTCCTTAAAACCGATTTATTTGTTATATTGCTTTATTTGAGGGGTCTCTGCTAGACATCTGCATGACTGGAATCAAACAGGCTTTGAAATGATTCCATTCGAATAGAATAGAGTTGAGTAAGTGCTCAGCACACTCAATGACTAAGAATGGATTGAATCTTGGTCCGTATAAAGAGTATGACAGCAAAGGACATAGAGTTAAACGAGTTCAAGATAACGAAAAACAGAATGTCATATTTGAATAGAAGGTGAAATCATTCGAGTTATTCGAATCCATTCGATTTTCTTATATGACGTCATTAGGGAAAAATAAAAAATTACATTTTATATATATATATATATATACATTAGGGTGGGTCGATTTGGGACCCCAAAAACCGTATAGTGGGAATGTAATCTTTAAAGGATTCTAAGCCATATTGGCGAACATACTTATGGTCTAAAATGACGTTTGACCCCCCCCAAACGCTCTATTGCTTTTTCTAAATAAGTTAGAAATTCATTTTCAGGGCTTAAAATGCTATCTCCGAAGAGCTACTGCTCTATACTATATATATACTATATACTATACTGCTTCTGCATGCTATAGTTTCTCAATATCATGTTAGGTTTTATGTGAACGAAAACAATTAACTAGAGGCAAAGTTCTAGTTAAATTTATCGGTCACCACGGGGGGTGTTTTGATATCACCCCCCACGACAAAATCCTAGATCCGCCACTGGTCACCACAAAACTTACCACTGAATCTTCTGGTAACAAAGTCTGTACAGATTTGTCATTCGTAAAAGTAAAGAATTTGTCTTTCCAGTTAACCTTCGCTGACATATAACAAACCTTAACTGAAACCTTAACATGACATTGAGAAATCGGCCCTTTCAACAAAAACTAGTTCTTATACAATGTGTAAATGATATACAACAAATATCTAAACTAATTCCTACGACTTTGTTATATTTTTTTTCTGATTTCAGGAATACCCAGCAGCCCTGGACTTCACCGCCCAGCCGATGCCGATGGCGCACCTGCAGCCCATGACGGTGACCTCGCTGGCCACCAACGGAGGACCGACGCTCCTTGGCAACGGATCGGTGGCAGCGGTGGCCGGTGGCTCCGGCACCTTGCGGCGTGGCATTCTGCGCGGGGTGGTGGGCGTGCAGCAGCAGCAGCAGCCCGATGTCACCCACCACACGTCGTCGGTCGTCGGCGGCGGCGGCGGTAGTCCGATGCAGATGCTCCACGACCTGCACCCGGTGAACCTGAGCGCCTCGACGCTCACCACCAGCACCACGCTGAATGGCAGTCTGCCGACGGCCACCGCCACGCTGCCCCGCCAGCCGCACGGTATCCTGAAGGATCCCAACCGGAACAAGCAGCATCAGCAGCAACAGCAGCAGCAACAGCAGCTGCTCAACGCCAGCCTGGTGGGCGTGGGCATGAACATGGGCGTGAATGTTCCAGTTTCGGCGCCCATGGGCAGCCTGCAGATCCTCAATCTGCCGACGGCGGGACTGGGCAACAACCTGCTGATGACCACCAGCGGCGCCTTCGACCCGACGGCGGTGGGCATGAGCAGCTTCGGCGGAGTTGGCCAACCAAGCGGCATCCCAGTGGCCTACACCGATGCGGACGGGCATCTCGTATAGCTGTAGGCGGGAACTGGGGCCATCAGCAGTTGCAGCAACAGCAGCAGCTCCACCACCATGCGGATCCTTTCCGGCAGTGAGCCCCGGTTCTGAGCAACCTCCCTAGATATCCTAGACTCACCCACACCCTATCCAGCATACTCGTATCTGTAACCAACCTACTCGCAAGGATGTAGCTAGTTTAGGAGCTTACTCTTCGGCATCTGGACTCCGATTCCTTCGGTGGCCCCTGTCCGGCAGCCACATCCACTCGCCATTACCTTATTCAAATCAGCCAGCGAATTAGTTTATGTAAATTTCCACCCAATTCTTATGGTGGGTGTTTATTTAGATAAGGATTCTGGATTCTGGATTCTGGGCGGGCCAAGTCACTGGGGGGAGTGAGCATAATTTCGCAGAGACTTTTACTAATTAGCCGGCAGCAGGAGGAGGAGCAGAAGTGAGAAGCAGGAAGCAGGCGAAAATAATTTGAAATTTCCTTCGGGTGGAAAACGCGAAACGGTCCAGAGCCGTTTGACAGCTCCCAGGGGCGTGCTTCGGCTCAAGTCGACTGGGCACGTGATTGCCCTGGACGGCGCCAGCGGCCATGGTCGTCGAAAGTTGAAGGTTGACAGCCGCTAGCTGCTGGGTGACCCCCTCCTCCGGAGCCGAGTGCTAGATTTGCCACCTCCCCTTTAATGGGGCAGCTGGAAAATCTGGGAATGGGACTACAGCGAGGCCACAGTGGAGCCTACTTAACTCAAACTAATAGAAAGGGGGAAGTTTAATAGGAGAAAAGTTGGATTTTTAAATGATTTCAAGGAAATTTGCAAATATTAAATCTAAATTTATTTTTTCACCAAGTTAGGAAGTCTCCCTTAAACAGGATTAAAAGAACACGTCACTGTTAGTTAAGAAATCCAAGTTTAAGCTGTAGATGGAGCGATTTTTCTTTGTGAAAACTTTCAGACTATTTTTTACGAATTTAAACTGATGAAAATCAAGGCTACCCCAAGGTTACGCTTTGGAATTTAAGTTTGCCAGCGCCTTGAGTTGCTCAACTCAAACTCCTTAATGGAAATGCGCATATCGTAGATATGAAGAGGGGGCGGCGACCACGCCCTCGCAGCCATTATATGCAGAAGCAGCCTGTATCTCTATCTATATATCTAGCCAACTGGCATTCGAGTGGCGCTGCCGCCCATAAACAGTTTTCATTTGCCACTCGTCGCAGCTCAGCGAGCGTGACATGCCAATCCTGGCCTGCGTTGCCATTAGCTCTTCCAGTTCGAGACCAGAAGAATCCCGGAGTCCCAAGGACCACTCAGCCCCACCCCTCCATATCCCCCCCATCGAAATCCACATTCGTATATCTTTGACTTTGTAGCCAAGTTCTTGGGATCCTCGAGCGTCGTGCATAATTGCCAGCAGCATTGTGTGGATTTTAATATTCATTTGGCTGTAATTGCTGGATCCGGGTCTGGATCGGGGGAGTGCACTATTGCAGCTGCTAGTCCTTAGTGGATTATCGCAAATGAATAAATGCCCTGATTTCGGGGCATAGATGGCGGCGGCGGATTGGAGGATTCAACGATTCAAGGACTCGAGAGCTCGAGAAGACGGGAACTCAAGGAGGAGGGGCGCTGAGCAAACACAGAGTGTGTAATTAAAAGTGAAATTATCTTTGAAATTAACGCACGCGTAGACAAAGACAAAGGCGATGGCAAAGAGGATGGCGACGGGGGAAATGAAGAAAAATGCGCGGAAAACTGAGGATGAAATTAAGAATGAAGATGAGGCACACATGGGTGTGTTTTACCGCTGTGGGATTTCCGCTATTGAATAATGGCGATGGCAGTGGTCAGATAAAAGTTAAATGAGCGGGAAAATAGGGAGAATTATAGTGGGTAGCCGGGCGAAACCTGTTGTGTTTTTCGAGGAAAATGGGGAAAAATGGACAGAGTGGCCAAAGGACAGGGGCTGCCGAAAGGACCTTCTCTCTACACCAGATATATGTGAGTGTATAGCTTGTACTCAACTCGACGAGCAGTGCTGCCAAATTGCATTAATAATTAGCATTTAACTGGATCCGTAGCCCTAAGTAGCTAAGCCAAAACAATTTCGAAACACTACTCAATCAGCAAGCCAAATCCTTTCAAATTGTACAATACCACAGAGCAGAAGCCGAAAAGCAAGGAATACCGATTACCAATTACCGATTAGCGATAAATAATTAACGATTAAAAGGACAAATGCAGGTATATCGATACACACACACGGAGGAGAGTCATTGCAATTCATAGATGTAAAACGTAGCATACTATTTCGCATCTCGTAACTGTTAGGCCCCGTCCCCAAACCCCAAACCCACATAACCTCTAAAAGTTTGGAGCTTGGCAGGGAATTCCCGACATATACCTAGGAATAACCAACTCGCTGTCTTCTTAGGAATAACTATTTGATTGCACTCGAACTTAATACTCCACGGAAAGGAAAGGAAAGGTGTCCTTAACTGCATCTGCATCTCACAAATCTTGTATGTCTTCCCCAGCTTGTCCTGACGATTGTTGATTGTTTGGCTCTCAGTTCGATCCGCAAATACGTATTTATAATTACACAAACACATTAGTTTAAACTCTAAACCTAACACACTTGTCGGGGGAAATAAATAAGACTTATTGTAGATAATTATGTTTAAAACAATTGACAAACCCGAATTCAAGTTGTTCGATTTGTATTTTTGCCAAAGAGATATTTGTTAAACAAAGAAGCGATTACTTGCAGCTAGATTATGTGTGTGTGCTTGTTTCACTCTCGCTGTGTTTGATTGTTGTACGATTAAATTAGACTCTCTATAAACCCATTTGATTTTGGAAATACCCCCAATTCGATGTTAACGTAGCATAATTAAAGCAGCAGCTGAAGGCGATGACACACAAGACTTGAATACCGAACCTAGGTTAATGTTAAATGTTAATGGAAATCGAAATCGAAACTTAATGCAACTAAGAGTGCGTGTGTATAGAGCGAATTATTTAGCAGTGGATGTGAATGTTTTTATGACACTAATTGAGTTATGTACTTTATGTAGTCTGTATGCGTATATCTATAGCTATAATTAACTGAAAGCATTGTACAGTAGTCGAGAGGAAAAACAATAATTAACAAGGCGTAAGTTCATTCGAAGAAAAAACGAAAATAAATATTAAACGCATAGTTCATAAACTCAAAGCATAAGCCGCCACTCAGAAATCTGTATAAAACGAAAGCGAAAAGAACGAATTCTTTGAAAAAAAAACAAACAAAACCAAAAAAAAAATAAATTTATTGAAAAACTATGAAAATTAATGCATATGAAACCTACTGCATTTTTAAAAAAACGATCTGTTAACAAATGAATAATAAAACCATAAAAAGGATGAATACCAAAAACGAAATGCATTTCCATGGCGGAACAAAGGGCCAGCCGAATACGGCACAAAGGACAATTTAATGGCAAAACTTTCGAATCAATTTTCAGCGGCAGGACTCAAACAAAGGACGATGGCTTCTCAGTCCCAGTTTCAGTCCCAGCAACCCACAGAAGAGACACTTTTCCCGGCGAGCCAAAGTTTTCCGAGGCCAGGACGACTATCCGTCTTGCCGGGTGTGGTGCAAAAAATTGAATTCCTTGTAAAACTTACGAGCTGGCATTAATTTTAACAGCATCTCGGTGGGCGGTGGGCGGTGGGTGGTCGATGGGCGGGTCCTGGATGCCTCAAATTACGTATACGGCCCATTGAACGCTCTGCCGGGCACGGACATGTGTGCGTACACTCCGGGTCGGGGCCATTATTCTCCCCTGACTGACCTTATGACGCTCATTCGATGGGCACAAATCGCAGCTCGTTTTTCATTTAAATGGAAGTTAATTAGTTCCGCCAAAAAACAAAGCGAAAGAATATATATGTACGTACATCGAGGAAAACAACAATGGGAGCGGCGCAAGTAGAGGGCAAATAAAATTTCGCCAAGAACTGGGTGTGGCCAAAAGCATTCCTTGCTGCAATTGATTGATTTATTCCCGTTCCCATTTCCGTTCGCCATCCAGCTCCACCTTTTCATCCTCCTCCACTTCCTGGGCTTTGACTTTGGCTTTGGCTTCGACATCCACTTGGGCTTCATCAGTTGTTGCCGCAAATTGATTCAACAAACGGCAAACAAGTGAAGCCTGGCCATGATGGGCCTTCAATTAATAGCCGGATGGGGCAAGTAAGTAAGGGCGGAGGTGGAGCTGGAGCTGCCAGGACACGAAACTTTCTCGCACCGTAACTCGTAACTCGGCAACTGTCAGCCGGCGGAATACTCGATTTTCCCTAACGAGCTGGAGATAAAGGATGGTTCTAAAATAATAAAAGAACTCCCCAAAATATAGCTGGACCATACAAATAAACAAATATTTTCACAAAGGAGAACTGAAGGTTAAACTTAAATTTAATTTCCAATTGATTACTAACAGCAACTCACTAAAGGGTAAAGCCTAGGATTACTCCTCAAATATTTTAAGGAAATAATTTTAAAGGAATTATCTTTTAACATGACAATAAATAAATAAATAAATTTTAAAGAAAATACAAAAAATATTATGATGTATTTAAAAAAAAATTGGAAAATTTTGTTTGAAAAGATCTGGAAGATCTTACTTACCAAAACTGTATGAGGCTTAAACATTTTAATTAAGCAACAATCTCTAAAAATAGTTTTCATAGAAACAATATCAATCAATCTCATAGTACTCAAACGTTATCAGTTGTAAGAAACACCTGGAAGAAGGGTATCCCATTTTCGGTTTTGCAATGGAAACTCCTTCACTGGCAGTTTTCATTGTAATGCAGGTGACAACGCCAACCCGCCTCCGATCTCCCTCCCATATCTTGGCCTTTTTATTTTGTCTACCGTTTTTTTGGCCTGCGACCGGTGCCGTCAAAAGGAACAAACCTCAGTGGCGACAGCGTGGAAATGCACGTCACAAGTACTCGTACAGTTCATCTGGTCGAGTAAATGGAAAAGTTTTGTTTGGTAAACTTTTGGGGCAGAAAAGAAAGCGCTAAGGCGGGCTGGCTGAGTGCTGCAAGTGCGGAGTAGGGATCGAGGTCCGAGGTACGAGGTACGAGGCACAAAGTCACTAAGGAAACAATGACGACCGAAAAGTTTCTCGTTGGCATAATCATTGTCATGGTCATTGACGCAAGGATTTGCAAATTATCAGGGGCGAAACTTGACCGG